CTGAGTCCACCGCTGAGAGCCGGCCCACTTTTCACCTGGGTGTAACTCTTTCATCACCTCGTGCGACCACTTCTGCAGTCGTGCGATCGAGACGGCGAGGCACTTCTTGCCGTGGGCGAGAAACCTCCGGTACACCTCCGCTTCCATGTCCCGATACCACGAGCTCCTTCCGCGGCCGTGTAGGCGCCAGCGTGCACCGTGCGCGCCCTCAAGCTCAGCCTTGCGGTTCTTCCACTCCGTGAGACACCTTTGGGAGATGCCGGATTCGTGAGACATGCGCCGCACACTCATCTCTCCGTTTTTGAGCTTCAGAATCCATTGCAGCTTCTCATGCGAGGTGTAGGAATTGCGCCTGTGCTTTGTCGGCTTGTGCCTGGGGGAGGGAGGACGGGCATCACGATTATCGCGAGATGGGTGGGGCCTTTTTTTATTCGGAGGGGGGAAGGAGGGAATTGGAAGGTGCTTAGGGAGACCGTCAGCAGCCCAGAACTCCACGTCGTCGTCTGCACCGGTTGCGGATTCGTCCAACGGGCAATCAGCCGGCGCTCCCCACCGTGGCTCTGGTGCGGAGGAAGATCCTTCGCCGCCGCTGCGTTTAGGGTCGGACAGGAAGGCGTCGAACGCCGAGTAGCCAGGCGGGAGGAGAAGCTGCAGAACCCCCTATCCCGGAACACCAACAGCAGGCGGGACAGGAGGGGCCGGAGGAACGGGAGGAATAGGAGGCGCCGGGGGAGCGGGAGGGGTAGGAGGCGTAGGAGGAGTGGGAGGAACGGGAGGCACTACTGGTTGTGATGGAGGGACGGGCGCAGGGCGCGACTGCCATTGAGAGTAGTCACGGGTGTCTCTGCGGGTACTTTCTCTAGCAGTAGGTTGGCGGCGGAACAAGAAATGCGTGCCTGGAAGGCCCGCCATGGCCACGGCAGGCCAAACGAACAAAGAAAACTGAATCAAAAGTTGAGAATGAGGGACGTATGTGTCAGAATATATTTGCTGTCTAGCCTGCAGTGGGGTACTCTGTAATGAGTACAACCCAATTTGGGGCTTTGTACTTGTATCCCAACTCTTGCTAGTGAAATCACTTCCCTTCCAATTTCTCGATACTCTCCCCTAGGAGAAACCCCACTCGAACTCACCTTGCCTACCTCCTAGTGTGGGCCTAGGCTACTAAGCCTAGGCCCCACCTTCTACTATTCTCACATGTTATCAGAGCCCGTTCTACCTTGGCCTGTGGGCCCCTATACTTCCGCTGCAGTCCTTCTTCCTGCCGTGCGCTCGGGGCGCCGAAATTTTTTTAGGGTTTCGGAGTTCATCCCGCCGTGCGCTCGGGGCGCGCGGCGGTTTTCCCGTCTGTCGAAGCGCCCTCGGGGGGCCTGCGCGCTGCCCTCCCCGCTGCTCGTCGCGACGCCCGTGCGGGACCCGCGCGGCGTCGCCCTGCTCGTCGCGACGTCCGTGCGGGACCCGCGGGGCGTCGCCCCTGCTCGTCGCGACGTCCGTGCGGGACCCGCGCGGTGCCGCCCTACTTGTCGCGACATCCGTGCGGGACCCGCGGGGCGTCGCCCCTGCTCGTCGCGGCGTTCGTGCAGGATCCGCGGGGCGCCGTCAGAGCCAGCAGCAACCGCCGCCAGAGCCTACAACAGCGGCCGCCACCACCCAGCAGCAGCAGCCGCCGCCAGGCCTGCAGCAGCTGCTGCCACCGCGCCTGCAGCAGCAGCTGCCGCCGCTCTGCAGCAGCAGCCGCCGCTCTACCAGCAGCAGCAGCCGCCGCCACTCTGCAGCAGCAACCGCCGCCGCCCAGCAGCAGCAGCTACCGCCAGAGCCTGCAGCAGCAGCCCCTGGAGCCGCCACTGCAGCAGCAGCCCCAGGAACGGCCACCCCTGCAGCAGCAGCCCCTGGAGCCGCCACTGCAGCAGCAGCCCATGGAGCAGCCGCCCCAGCAGCAGCCGCCCCTGGAGCCGTCACTGCAGCAGCCGCTCCTGCAGCAGCAGCCCCAGGTGCAGCCGCCCCAGCAGCAGCCGCCCCTGGACCCGGTACGCCCTTTGCTGCCTGTGCCTGTGCTGCCCGTGCCTGTGCTGCCCGTGCCTGTGCTGCCTGTGCCTGTTGCTGCCCGTGCCTGTGCTGCCCGTGCCTGTGCTGCCCGTGCCTGTGCTGCCCGTGCCTGTGCTGCCCGTGCCTGTTGCTGCCCGTGCCTGTGCTGCCCGTGCCTGTGCTACCCGTGCCTGTGCTGCCCGTGCCTGTGCTGCCCGTGCCTGTGCTGCCCGTGCCTGTTGCTGCCCGTGCCTGTGGTGCCCGTGCCTGTGGTGCCCGTGCCTGTGCTGCCCGTGCCTGTGCTGCCCGTGCCTGTTGCTGCCCGTGCCTGTGCTGCCCGTGCCTGTGCTGCCCGTGCCTGTGCTGCCCGTGCCTGTGCTGCCCGTGCCTGTTGCTGCTCGTGCCTGTTGCTGCCCGTGCCTGTGCTGCCCGTGCCTGTGCTGCCCGTGCCTGTTGCTGCCCGTGCCTGTGCTGCCCGTGCCTGTGCTGCCCGTGCCTGTGCTGCCCGTGCCTGTGCTGCCTGTGCCTGTTGCTGCCCGTGCCTGTGCTGCCCGTGCCTGTGCTGCCCGTGCCTGTGCTGCCCGTGCCTGTGCTGCCCGTGCCTGTTGCTGCCCGTGCCTGTGCTGCCTGTGCCTGTTGCTGCCTGTGCCTGTGCTGCCCGTGCCTGTGCTGCCCGTGCCTGTGCTGCCCGTGCCTGTGCTGCCCGTGCCTGTGCTGCCCGTGCCTGTTGCTGCCCGTGCCTGTGCTGCCCGTGCCTGTGCTGCCCGTGCCTGTGCTGCCCGTGCCTGTGCTGCCCGTGCCTGTTGCTGCTCGTGCCTGTGCTGCCCGTGCCTGTGCTGCCCGTGCCTGTGCTGCCCGTGCCTGTGCTGCCCGTGCCTGTTGCTGCTCGTGCCTGTTGCTGCCCGTGCCTGTGCTGCCCGTGCCTGTGCTGCCCGTGCCTGTTGCTGCCCGTGCCTGTGCTGCCCGTGCCTGTGCTGCCCGTGCCTGTGCTGCCCGTGCCTGTGCTGCCTGTGCCTGTTGCTGCCCGTGCCTGTGCTGCCCGTGCCTGTGCTGCCCGTGCCTGTGCTGCCCGTGCCTGTGCTGCCCGTGCCTGTGCTGCCTGTGCTGCCCGTGCCTGTGCTGCCCGTGCCTGTGCTGCCCGTGCCTGTTGCTGCCCGTGCCTCGTGCTCGCGCCCTCGTGCGCTCTGCTACTGTCTGCGCCCTCGTGCGCACTGTTCCCCCCCCCCCCCCCGTTTGCGGGTGTGGGGGTGCTCCGTTTGTGTCGCCCCTTCCTTCTCCTCCTCCGTCGTCTCCCACTGCTGCAGCTGTCGCTGAGGGGGGTGGTTGTGTGGGAGACTGGGGTTTAGGGTTTAAGGGGGGTGCGTGGGAGTGGAGCTAGGGGTGTAGCAGCGGGTGTGTGTCAGGGGGGTGGAACTGTTTGTGGGAGGTTGAGCGGAGGCTGCCGTCTTGTAGTCCGCAGCACCTGTAGTCCGGGGCGCTGTCCTGGTAGCCCAGTGAGCCTGCTGCGCCTGTCGCCCGTGGGTCCGTTGCTCCTGCCGCTCTTCGTAGCCGCCGAGCCAATTACTCCAGTAGTCCGGGGCGCTGTCCCGGTAGCCACTGTGCCAGCCGCTCCTGTTGCCCGTGTGTCTGCAGCTTCAGCAGTCGCCTCCCATCTCCTCTTCTCTCACTCTCCCTCCTCCTCCTCACTTGCCCATTGTGACCACCACTAGCTTTGCTGATAATTGTGCACTTTAACTATTGCTTCTTTAACTTGTGCTCAGAATGTGTGGTGACATTGTGATCCACCCTGAGCTTGTACTACTTTGCCTGCTCTGCTGATTACACCCCACTTTGGCTATGGGGGTGTGTCAGAATATATTTGCTGTCTAGCCTGCAGTGGGGTACTCTGTAATGAGTACAACCCAATTTGGGGCTTTGTACTTGTATCCCAACTCTTGCTAGTGAAATCACTTCCCTTCCAATTTCTCGATACTCTCCCCTAGGAGAAACCCCACTCGAACTCACCTTGCCTACCTCCTAGTGTGGGCCTAGGCTACTAAGCCTAGGCCCCACCTTCTACTATTCTCACAGTATGAAGCCCTCGCCCGAGACCCCTTCAGTTTTGCGGCCCGGCTTCCTCTGCGGGGAAAGTCCAGCCACAGTCAAGATTCCCCGCAGAGGAGCTGAGCTGGGAAGCTCTTTGCCTCTGTGGCAGGGAATCTTGATGTTGATGGGCACGTCGTGGCTGAACCACGACGTGCCCACGATCGCATGCAACCATGATTGGGCCGCTGTGATGCGAAGTACGTGTGCGCTGGCATGGGCCAGGTTCACGTTCGATGAACCGGGCCTGACCAACAAGGCGTGGAAGGCGTCATGCCACGCCTTGTTGGCCGTTTCACGCGCAAAGCATGCACAATTTTGAACGTTCTCGACTCAGGTGAATTCGCCTTTGAGAATGCTTCGATTTGGTATATTTAAAAACAAATTTCATTTTTGACATAACATAAACGCGGCGCTTATAATTTTACTATATTATAAGCCCACCCCCTAAAAAAAACATGTTTTATTAGTGCCCCCCATGGGGGTATATCCGGGCTATGATGGTACAAACAATTGATGCATCACAAAAATGGTGAATATATGTAGATGTGGAATTTCAATGCTGACATGTTTGGCCCTGTCAATAAAGAACACAGCCTGGATGGACATAGCTACCTAGCACACTCAGGTGCAAAAAGGTGATGGTAGATGAAACATTTACGCAGAACTGTATGATATCATGGAGATTATATACAAGAAAGTGTATGCCATCTACCTACCCATCCAATACCATCGTGGATGCGAAAAAATGTAAAGCAACTGAATTTACAAAAGCATTCTAACGGGCTGTGCCATCTCTGTCTGTGGCGGTTGGTTCGGCTCGCACTAGCTGGTCGATGCGCTCTCAGGCGCCCCGAAAATCACCTCAAGGCATTAGTGACGGTATGTTCGCACTAGCTGGTCGACGCGGCGGCGGCAGAGGGGGCACTGAGTGAGCTGAGCCGCACAGTGCACACAACAGCACATGTGCCCGCACCTGTGCGTGTATGTGGGGGGGGAGAGGGTTGGGAGGATGGATTTGATAAAGAGGAGCGCACAAATGGTTTGGTGCAGGAGAGAGTACAGGGCATGGCAGAATGAGGGGCACTGAGTGAGCTGAGCCGCACAGTGCACACAGCAGCACATGTGCTCGCACCTGTGCGTGTATGTGGGGGGGGAGAGGGGGAGAGGGTGGGGAGCGGGAATGAACGGAGGATCAGAAGTAGTTGAGTGAGAAAAGAGAGTACTTGCGGGAGGGGAAAGGGGAAGAAGAGGAGAGCGGGAATGGTGGAGTGAAGAAGGAAAGAGTACGGGGCAGGGCATTGTGTTTTTGAGTCGACTCATAAGTCACCTCGCAATGAGCACACCGCTTTCAGGTACTGAACAGAACAGAGCATAGGGCATTGAACAACGTACGGGACGAAGACAGAGTTGTATTTCTGCTCCAGGCAGATCACACAGGTGTCGGGCAGCTGAGCTGGCAAGTCCCCGTCAGCTGCTTCCTTGGCTGCATCTGACGTGGCAGGATCGTTTTGGGAGGCTGATGAGTTGCTCTGATCCCTTGCTGCTGACGCTGCTGCTTCCGCCTCAAATACTCTGTGATCCATGCATACATGCAGACATGCAGACATGCATACGTACATGCATGCATGCAGCAACACATACATACATACATGCACACATGCACGCATCCATGCATGCATGCACGCATGCAAGCAAGCAGTAACACGCATGAATGCAGCAGACAGAAACTGCGCAAGGACGCAGGGACTCTAGCTCGCAGCCGACTTTTGAGGCGCCTCAAAATCCGTGTGAACTGAGACGATGCGTTTTGAGGCGCCTCAGTGAGTGCAGCAGACAGAGAATGCGCAAGGCAGCAGGAACTCTAGCTCGCAGCCACAGGCAAGAAATCATCTCCATAGCCCCCGCCAAACTCAAAGCCAATCCAAGTCAACGCAGGTCAATCTATATGCAAGCCACCCCTCACCTCCTCCTGAGGGCGGCCCTCCTCCTCCTCTCCATCACGCCCCCCACAATGCGCCCCACTATCAGCACCGCTCCCACCGCCGTGCACCCATACGACAGCCAGCGGCACCACTGGGAGAAGGTGCCGAGGGAGGCGATGAGGGCATCTAGGGAGCGCGGCGAGACGAAGAATGGGCCGCCCTGGTGCGGCCGCTGCAGCGTGATGCTCCCCCGGTCGTCCCTCACAGCCTGGAGGGATGAGGAGGGAGGAGAGCTGGTTTAGGGTATGAGCCACTGGCAGCACTGGGAGAAGGTGCCGAGAGAGGCGATGAGGGAATGGAAGGAGCGGGGCGCAGCCACTGGCAGCACTGGGAGAAGGTGCTGAGAGAGGCGATGAGGGAATGGAAGGAGCGGGGCGCAGCCACTGGCAGCACTGGGAGAAGGTGCTGAGAGAGGCGATGAGGGAATGGAAGGAGCGGGGCGCAGCCACTGGCAGCACTGGGAGAAGGTGCTGAGAGAGGCGATGAGGGAATGGAAGGAGCGGGGCGCAGCCACTGGCAGCACTGGGAGAAGGTGCTGAGAGAGGCGATGAGGGAATGGAAGGAGCGGGGCGCAGCCACTGGCAGCACTGGGAGAAGGTGCTGAGAGAGGCGATGAGGGAATGGAAGGAGCGGGGCGCAGCCACTGGCAGCACTGGGAGAAGGTGCTGAGAGAGGCGATGAGGGAATGGAAGGAGCGGGGCGCAGCCACTGGCAGCACTGGGAGAAGGTGCTGAGAGAGGCGATGAGGGAATGGAAGGAGCGGGGCGCAGCCACTGGCAGCACTGGGAGAAGGTGCTGAGAGAGGCGGTGAGGGAATGGAAGGAGCGGGGCGCAGCCACTGGCAGCACTGGGAGAAGGTGCTGAGAGAGACGATGAGGGAATGGAAGGAGCGGGGCGCAGCCACTGGCAGCACTGGGAGAAGGTGCTGAGAGAGGCGATGAGGGAATGGAAGGAGCGGGGCGCGGCAAAGAACGGGCCGCGGCAACGAACGGGCCGCCCTGGTGCGGCCGCTGTCAAGGAGCGGGGCTTCCCCGCTCAGCCTGGGGGTTGGAGAGAGCAAAGAGTGGAAACACTGGCCGCGTTTTCTTGCCCATGCCAGTGAGAGGAAAGAGGATGGAAAACACTTGTGGACCGCTCCTCTTACTGCACCTCACATCACTCTGCCTTAACTCACTTCAAATCTCTTCACGCCCTTTTACCGCACATCACCGCATCGTATCTCACCTCACCCACGACAGTGAGGCTGGTGCCCACCGGGAGCACCTTCTCCACTCGCTTCACTCCCAGCACCTTGATGCCCTGGTGGGGTGGGGTGGGGTGGGGTGCAGTGCAGTGGTGGGGCGGGTTGGGGTGGGATGGGGTGGGGTGGGGTTGGGTTGGGTTGGGTTGGTGGAGCAAAGACACAAAGCACCTTCTCCACTCGCTTCACTCCCAGCACATTGATGCCCTGATAATGGGTTGCAGTGGGGTGGGTTGGGGCGGGATGGGGTGGGATGCGGTGTAACGTGGTGCAGTGCAATGTGGATGGTATTTGGTGCGATGTGCAGGGCAGTGTGCAGACGGGTGCACTATGTGTAGAGTAGAGAATCTCACCGCCCTCCCACAAAACCGATTGCCCACCTGATGTGATGACTGTCCACTCCACTGTGCTGTGCCCAAGCAACTTGCCACTGTCACCCACCCCAACCCCGCACGACCCACCTCCAACCGACCCCCAACCCACCCCAGCCCCTTCCCACCCACCCCTATTCCTTCTCACTCACTTGCAGGTAGTCCACAGTGCTGCGCACCACCGACCTGCCCCTGTCACCCACCCCACCCCAACCCACCCCAACCCAACCCACCCCAACCCACCCCAACCAACCCATACCCAATCCCTTCCCACCCAGCCCAACCCAGCCGAGCGCCTTCCCACTTACCTGCAGGCAGTCCACAGAGCTGCAAACAACCGACTTGCCGCTGTCATCCATCCTGACCCACCGCAACCCACCCCAACCGCTTCTCGCCCACCTGCAAATAATCCACAGTGCTGCACACAACCGACTTGCCGCTGTCGTCAAACACCTCCGTGCCAACCGTCAGCTCCAAACCTGCTCTGCACCCATCAGGCAGCATCAACCATCCACACTGCACGCCTGCACTCATGACAATCACCCACCTGCAAATAGTCCACAGCGCTGCGCACCACCGCAACCCTTTCCCACCCACCCCAATCCCTTCCCACCCACCTGCAGGTAGTCCACAGTGCTGCGCACCACCGACTTGCCACTGTCATCAAACACCTCCGTGCCCTGCTCTGCCCGCAACAGCCCACTGACCCACCCCAACCGCTTCCCACCCACCTGCAGATAATCAACAGTGCTGCGCACCACCGACTTGCCACTGTCATCAAACACCTCCGTGCCCTGCTCTGCCCGCAACAGCCCACTGACCCACCCCAACCGCTTCCCACCCACCTGCAGATAATCAATAGTGCTGCGCACCACCGACTTGCCACTGTCATCAAACACCTCCGTGCCCTGCTCTGCCCGCAACAGCAGCCCACTGACCCACCCCAACCGCTTCCCACCCACCTGCAGATAATCAACAGTGCTGCGCACCACCGACTTGCCACTGTCGTCAAACACCTCCGTGCCGACCGTCAGCTCCAACCCTGCTGCCGAACGTGCTCCTACCACGTTGGCTCGGCCCGTGCCATCGTCCTGTGGTGGTTAGGCAAGACAAAGCAAGGGGTCTTTGTGATTGACTCACAGTAGACCAACATTGACCAGTGCTGACTCATGTTGACTCACAATGCACCAGAATTGACCGGCGTTGACCAGCATTTTTTTTTTTTTCTACAATGCATGCATATTCGGAATCTACTCATCAAGAGCTTGCTTTCGGCTCCAGAATTGTGTTCACAAAGCGAACATTGGACTTCCGTCGCTTCTCTTGCAGAATTCCGTTTTCCAGGTTCTTAACTGCATACAAGCTTCACGACATCCAAGATGGCATGAGCAAGCAAAGACAGGTGTAAGTCAGGGTCGGAAATACAAATACAAGGATTCTGTTAAACGTAACATCTTCAGGTTATCAGTTTTTGCCGCCATTCAACGACCTTCAAAGACGGAAATCTTCACACGGGATCAAGCAACATTCGTTCAGCCTTGTGCTTCTTGCCAGAGGACTGGCTGTTTTTGTTTAAGTTCTTCAAGGCAAATCACGTCGACAGCTAGCTCCAGTTCCGGATCAGAGATATTTTACGAAGGAAGGGATAACTTCAAAACGGCAGATCGGGAAGATTTGCTATTTTTCCGCATGGCTACTGAAGCGGCTATCAAAGGAGATCATATATACATGCTCCTGGACGGTTGGAATGAAAAGGAGGACGCTGAAGGCACTAATACGAATAAAGGGAACGGAGGGTCAAGCATTATAGACACCGAGACAGGAAATTCTCAAGAAGCTTCTATGCAACTTCACGACATTAATCTATGGCGTCATGACTTGGTTATGCTGGAGTTAAGAGGAGCGGGTGCATCAGCTGCAGCATTGTTCACTCGCCGTCGTAAGAGAAAGCTACGGAAAGCTGCTGCATCACTGGACCAGAGGTTTCAGTTTCACCCAAGCAAGATTGTGGCCAGAACCACTCTCCACCGCTCTCAAAGTGGTGCAACGACCGGAGCATTCAGATTTCGCCAAAAGAATGAAGGGATCGAGCCCCACAGGAAGCAGGCCAGCAAGTGTGCCAGGGAACTCCCAAACGGGCAGGATGAATTTTTCAGGCGCCTGATTTATAAACCTCCGTAAGGCAACCGCGAGGGTACGGTATGATTGTACCTAGGCCCTCTAGCTCCGGTTACGACCGATGGTGTTTTTGCGTTGTACGTTGTATCTGTCACCTACCCAAAAAAAAAAAAAGAAGCATTGACTCACAATATACAGCCATTGACCAGCGTTGACTCACACTGTACCAGCGTTGACCAGCGTTGACTCACAATGTACCAGCGTTGACCAGCGTTGACTCACAATGTACCAGTCTTGACCAGCGTTGACTCACAATGTACCAGTCTTGACCAGCGTTGACTCACAATGTACCAGCGTTGACCAGCGTTGACTCACAATGCACCAGCGTTGACCAGCGTTGACTCACAATGTACCAGCGTTGACCAGTGTTGACTCACAATGTACCAGCGTTGACCAGCGTTGACTCACAATGTACGAGCGTTGACCAGCGTTGACTCACAATGTACCAGCGTTGACCGGCATTGACTCACAATGCACCAGCGTTGACCAGCGTTGACTCACAATGCACCGGCGTTGACTCACAATGTACCAGGGCACAGACTTCAAATTCCGGATGAGAAACGCTGAGTCCTGCACCCACGCGCCTGCATCATTGTGCTTCAGAAAAAACTGCTCCGCCTGCTCGTCATGGGGAGGGAGAGAAATACACAGGGAAGGGGAAACAAGGGAAAACTTGCTGCAAGAAAGAGAGGGGTGAAGAGATGGGGAGAAGGGACTAAGTGATTGCTTGAACTGTGGGCTGACGTGGCTCACTCACAGTCTGCTCCACGATGACGCCACGTAGGCTGCTGTTCTCGCACGTGATTGGCTGGTCGCTGCCCACTTTGCCTGTGACTGCAACGACCAGAGGAGAATACCCCTTCGTCCCTTGTAGCATCCTTCCTGCAAAGGCGGTGAGAGCACAGACACAGACAGGGCAATGGCAATCTCTTTGTGAGAACCTCAGATTTCGTGACTGCAATGCAACAATCAGAGGGGAATACCCCTTAGTGCCTTTGCAGCATCCTTAATACGGAGATAAAGGCAGCACGGATAGCAGAGCAGAGCAGAGCAGAGACACTGAGGGCACACGAAAGCACAGAGAGCAGCCCGGAAATACAGATGCAGGGAAAAGTCATTGCAGAGAGCGTCATGGGTAGCTTTTTTAGGAATCTAGAATGACGATCAGATGATGCAAAGAGTGTCTTAGCGTTCAAGATAACCCAAGTGAGGGAGGCTGCTTACCGAGCTCTCTCAGCCTGGGCACCCTTGGGACTGCCTTGAGTGACGTGGCCTCCCTGCAATGATTCACAAAAAGAAAATACCGTACTCATAAAAGGGTCAACTATGTGTTCATGTTATAAGGTGCCGTACGGAAGCCAAATAAGGGGGGTCAATATGTGTACACGTTATGAGGTGGCTTGATATGGTGCTCCGGACCAAACACGTTTATGAAGGGATAGCATGTGGGCTAAGGTGGAAGCATATGGCTTACAGAGTGGAACAACTGTTGAGCACCCAACCCAATAAAGCTTCTGACCCTAAACTTTGCGACCATAGACTATACAACCCTATTCTGCGACCCTGGATTGTGCGACCCTGGACTGTGCGACCATAGACTGTGCGACCATACTAGACTGTGCGACAATAGAGTATGCGACCCTAGACTCTGCGACCGTCGACTGAGAAGGTATTAGGCAAAACATGGAATCACGCATTGGACATGCTGCTATGAGCTATTTTTGAGGCGCCTTAAAAAATCGTCAGTGAAGGTATTAGACACACATGGAATCACGCATGGGGCATGCTGCTATGAACCGACTCACTTTCCGCTTCGCGAGCTCAGCCAATGAAAGGCGAGGCCGCTGGCGCAGGCGAGCACGCCGTCCCAGGGAATACCGCTGCTGACATCGCCGCTCATCGCACACGACCTTGTTACCCTCTCAGTAACGAGTTTGGAGCAGCTTATAACGGGTACAGAGTGAAGCTAACAGCAGCTGAAGATTACAGCAACTAGGAACGGCAACGTCCCCGAAAACCACGCGTTCTCAAGTGCTGGCGCTTCTACAGAGCGTTCAAAGGCGCGTCGAAGCGCTGAACTGTGGGGTTGCTATTCGCGTATTTCATGCAGCGAATTAGGACACACGCTGGGAAGCGAATGGCACGGCGACGGGCAAAGGTAGTCGAACGAGGAAGCAAGAATGGAGGGCAATTTTATGAGTGGGTCCGCCGCCCTAAGGAATGAAACACAGTCTGTCTGCCGTCACATCACGCAACGTCAATGAACTTACTGCCGCTCATTTCCTGCAACATAGTACCTTGTCAGAATAGCGGGGCATCTAATAAAGAAGAAAGTGAGAGTGGTTGTCCTTCCACGTCTTTTGCCTTTTCCCCTTCCGTTGTGCGGGGCAACTGAATTGGACCCAAATATTTCGTAAGTCGTAGCGCGAAGCCATGTGCGTATATTTATGGTTGACAAAGCTTCTACTGTACTCATATGGCTTGCTTGAAATCGGATACACTGAGGGTTTTGTGACAAGCCGAATAGGCGTTGTTAAATAAATGGAACCTCCCTGGAAATTTTACGTCTGACGATTGGCTCAAAGACCGCCTCTGTGGATAGTGACCGTCCGATCTCTCACCATCTCACCTCTGCGGGAACGTCGGATCTACGGCGACTGGCTGGGACCTTGAAATGATTTTCCCGCGCAGACCCTCTGAACCCCAACTTCGAGGTTCTCCCCCCCAACCCATCTCAACTCAACTCGCTGCTTCTAATAAAATATCGTACCCTCTTCGTTCCTCCTACTCCCTTCAACACTACCTCGAGATCACATTTTCGACCCTCGCCCACGTTTTCTGCTCATTTTGATGCCTTGCGTTTCTGTTGCCTTTTCCGCTTTCTCGTTTCCACAGAACGTAAAGCCGGCAGCAGCGGCTGGTCGTTCCGAACGAGCTAACGAAGACATATCGGAGCCGTGCGGTGGAGTAGTAAATCCTCGGGCCTAGTGTTTTTTGTCTCTTGCGGTTTTTTTCTTCCGAAGGACGTATATTCGTGGCTGGCCAGGCGAACGGCGAAGATTCGCTCCTTGTGCGAAGGAGCCCGTTAGAGATGCCACCGTTTACTTTGATAAGCTGAACATTCGTTTTTCTTACTAACCCTAACGTTTTGAAGTGCTCTGTGGGCGTTTTTAAGTCAGGACCCATCCGTTCATTCTCGTCGAGCAGGCTGCTTCTTTCTCGTGTGTCGGTGCTTAATTCGCAACGAGGGGAGATTTTTCGGAGTAACGCAGCGCGTGCGATACGATTTTCCGACAGTACTCGCTGTGAATGTCAGTGCTTTTATTTTACTGATAGTCGCGATTTGCGATGCTCGTCGTGCGTAGAGGGTTCGTGATTCTCGCCGAGCCGCACACCCATCAGGCGTCTGATTAGCGTTGAGAGAGTTCTCCTTTGATTTTGTTGTTTCTTAACTTTCGACGAGCGCTTGTCGTTCTAGCAAGCTGTCCTTGCTGTTTGCGTCATAGAGCAACGTTTTGAGGGTTCCTTGTGGTTGGAGTTTTAGACTTCACTAATTAGGTTATTGTAATGTTTTAACTCGAAGGTACTTCGCGTTTGCTTCTTTCCTCGATTCTCTCTATTGTGCAGACAACGCGTCGAAACGTCATGGATTTGCGAAGCGGATTTTCCTTCGTTCGTCTACACTCCTAAAATAGGACCGTTCTACAGGGACTTCACCTGATTCAATCACTTCCTTAACAAAATATCGCGGAAAAATGGCGGATTCATCGCGGGTCCAGTGTTTTCGTTGTGGTGGTTTCGGTCACTTCTCCCGAAACTGCGTCTGGCCCGGTTTCGGCGGCAGGGGCGGTGCTGGTGGCGGACTACCCCGCAGTCTTCCCCCAGCCGCGCACGCCGCCGCGGTAGGCGACCGCAACGCGCGCGCCCTCTGCGCTGCGTGCGGGCACTTCGGGCACACAGAGGCCAAGTGCGGGCGCGACCTCCCCATGGGTCCCCTCCCGCCGCACCCCATGGGTCCCCACTTCCCCCACCCCGACCTCCACCGCCCTTTCGATCCGCGTTTCCCTGGCGGAGCCATGCCGCGCTGGCCGCGAATTCCGGGATTGGACGACGATCCACGTAGGCTGTACCCCAGGGGCCCTGCTGGTTGGCGCGGGCCTCCTCCTAGAGATGACACGTGGCGACCCGCGCGGCGGGATATACCCGGGAGGGGGGACTATGGCGCGGATGCGGGGGAGCGGGAGGATAGGCGCGGTCCAGGGTGGTTGGAAGAGGCTGAAAGGGGTTTCGCTAGGTCCAGAATGGAGGCTGGGGAGATTCGCGACGAGGAGGCGGGGGAGAGAGCAGGGAGGGGGGGCGACGAGCGATGCAATGGTGGGCAATTTCCCCGGAGGCTAGCGGGAGGCCTTCCCCCTGGGCCGTTGGAGGGGGGGAGCAGCGAATTCAGGCAGCCGCGCAGCAGAGAGCGCAGGGACGGGGATGGCGGAGGGATGGGGGAGTTTGCGGGTGCGTATGATGTGAGGCTGGGGCATGGGCGCGGCGGGGGATTTCCGCATTCTGGTGGCGCATGGGCGGAGGATTTTGTTCCGCTAGGGTGGGGGGATGGGTGGGGCGGGGAGAGCTCGGGGGTGTGGCATGGCGCGCTGGATGCGGGCGCGGGCGGCGCTGGTGGCGGGCCTGGCTGGGGCGCTGGCGCGGATAGGGAGGTGCGCGGGGATGTTCGGGGGGAAGGGCGTGGGGAGTTTTCTGGTAGGCGGGGGGAGCGGGGGAGCTATGGGGGAGCTGAGGACCCTGGGGAGGGCTGGTCGCGGCTCCGGAGGGGGGAGATGGTGGTAGATGAGCGGGAGGGGCGGGAAGGAAGGGCTTATAACGGGTATGAAGAGTGGGAGGGTGTGGAGGGAGAAGGAAGGAGGGGGTGGGGGAGGAGAGGGGTGGAGGGGCAGAGAGAGGAGGTTGAGAAGGGCGAGGTAAGGGAGAGAGGGGATCAAGCGGATGAAGGGGAAGTGGGGGTGGATGAGAGAGAGGAGGGGGAGGATGTGGAAGAGGGATGCGTAGAGGGGTCCGTAGAGGGACGAACGGAGGGAAGAATGGAGGGAAGAATGGAGGGGAGGGAGAGGCCATTATCTTTGTCGCCTAAGAGACGAGCCTCTAAGAGTCCTCTTGAGAATGGGCCTGGATTGAGCGAGCATGGTAGTGAGGCGAGGAAGGAGAGAGAAAAGGGAAGGGGAAAGACGAGAGAGAGCGAGAGGAGGACGAAGGAGGTGGATAAAGAGAAAGAGAAGGAGAAGGAGAATAAGAGGGGGAAGGAGAAGGAAAAGGAGAGGGATAGGGAGAAGGTTAGGGAGAAGGGGAAGGAAAGAGAGAAGGAGAAGGGGAAGGAGAAGGAGAAGGAGGAGAAGGAGAAGGAGAAGGAGAAGGAGAAGGAGAGGGTGAAGGAAGGGGACAGAGTGAAGGATAAAGAGAGGGTGAAGGAGCGAGAAAAAGTGCGGGAGAAGGGGAGAGGTAGGGAAGCCAATGCAGCCACTGCTGCTACCGTTCCAGAGCTAGACAAGGAGCGGGCGAGTAGCAAAGTAGATGCTGAAAGGCCGCAAGAGGAGAAAGCAGAGAGCTTGAAGGACGAATCGGGGGCGTCGCGACCTAGGAAGGAGGATACGGCAGTGGGAGATCTAGTGGCAATGACTATTGAGAAGGTGGATCGTGGTCCTGTGTTGAAGCAACATGTGGATGAGCAGGAGGCTGGCGGTGGAAAGGCTGCTTTGGAGTTGACACACAAGTCACCAGAGGAGAGGGTTGGTGAGAAGGCAGCTATGGAGAGGGCTGCGAGTGAGGTGGTAGTTAGGGATACGATGACTGCTAGTGACACGGGTGCTAGGGAGACGGGTTCAAGTGAGGGAGTAGGTAGGGAAGAAGTTAGTGAAACGAAGGCTAGGGATAAGACTAGTGAGGCAGTAGAAGGCAGGGAACAGGTTAAGGGTGAGAAGGTGACTGAAGCCTGTCTAATTGTACAACGTGAATCATCACCTGTGCCGTCGAGTCGACCTCCAGGTGATTCTTCAGGTGGTAGTTCACCCAAATTACCTGCTAGGCTTGCTTCTGGCAGTGCTGCCTCCGAGCCTGCCACCATACCAGCGGCCAGCATCCCCAAACCTGAGGGAGCTTCCGAGCCTGCCACCGTGTCTGACACCACAGCTTCCGATATGGAGGCGCGGGCTTCCAAGGCTGCTGCTGGCGCCGAGCCTGCTGCGGCCGAGCCTGCACTTGCGGATAGGGTTTCATTGCAGCTCTGCCCCTCGTTCTCCCGCCCGTTTGGTGGGTTTGGAGAAGTGGGGGGTACAGACGGGCCGTGGTGGCCTCCCAATGCTGGGAGAGAGCCTTTAAGTAAGGAGCAAGCAAGTAAAGAGCAAGTGAGTGAAGAGCAAGGGGAACCGGTTGGGGGTAGTGGCCTGGGGGAAGGAGCTCCTGCTAGAGTAGAGGGGGAAGGTGGTGCGGTTGGAGGTGAAGGAGAGGGCGTGACAGGTGGAGATGCAGGGGAGCGCGATGTGGGTAGAAATGAGAGAGGAGAGGGACAGGTGGATGCTGGTGGGGATAAAGGGGGGAAGCAGCTGGGTGATGCAGGGGCTGTGGCACAGGCAGAGGAGGGTACAGCAGGGGCGAATTTGGGTGCAGAAGGGGCGGAGGGAGGGGAAAAAGCGGCTGGAAGGAGTTTAGATCCTTGTAGAGGCGATTGCAGGGAGCTTGAGGCACAGAGGCGTGAGGCTGGAGGAGTTGAGGATGGGAGTGATCAGGCTGGGTGCAACAGAGGGGTGAGTGAACGGAGGCTGGTGGTGGGAGGTCCCGTTGATGGGATGCAATCGGAGGAAGAAGTGCAAGGGAGGGCAGGTATAGAGACAGGGAGGGAAAGGGGTGAGGAAGTGAGGCTTGCAGAAGGTTCGGTGAAAGGAAGGCAAGGGGGAGAAGAAGATCAGGCGCGGAGGGATGCTGCTTCTTCTTCTGCTGCTGCTTGTACTGCTTCTGGTGCTGTTGCTGTTGCTGCTGCGGCGACTGCTGTTGCTGTTTCTGCTGAAGGTGTCGAGAGGAATGAAGTGGAGTGTAGGGAGGCGGAGAAGGATGGTGGCTCAGGTGCTGCTGCTGACGCTACTGTTGCTGAGGTGGCAGGTGCTGTTGCAGCAGGAGCCACGGTTGTGACTGATTCTGAGGTGGCAGGTGCTGAGGCGGCATGTCTGGAGGTGGCATCTGTTGAGGTGGCAGGTGCTGAGGTGGTTACTGCGGAGTTGCAGAGTGTGGATGAGAGGGTGGAGAGGTTGATGCAAGGCGTGGTGCTCGTGGCTGGGAAAGAGAAGGACATCATTTTTGGTAAGCTGTCTGTTGGTTTGATAGCTTGCTTGTTTTGAGACGTCTCAAAACTCGTGGCTGGGAAAGAGAAGGACATAATTTTTGGTAAGCTGTCTGTTTGTTTTCCAGCCTGTTTTTTGAGAATTCTCAAAAAAGAGACTAGGCGTGGTGCTCGTCGCTGGGAAAGAGAAGGACATCATCTTTGGTAAGCTGTCTGTTGGTTTGCCAACTTGCTTGCATCTGTTTTTTCCTAAAAGTTCTACCATGTTCTACGAATCTAAAAAAGACAAGTTGGTAGTAGTGGACCAGGAGACTTTTGTGTTGACTCAAAAAATCATCTCTATTAACTGGTGGTGGCCAAGGATAAATCGGTGAGCTTGTTGCTGCACCATGCCTCCTCCCTGTGCTATTATTTTGATCATGCATGTTGCCGTATTGTGCTTCATATGAAATTTGCCCTTGTGGCTTCTCTGCTGTTTCTGCGCCAATTCGCATGAGGAACTTACCGCATGAACTTGCTTGCTCTTTCCTTTCTGCAGAGCTGCTGAGTGCAGCAGCAACGTTGGTGGAGGAGCAGTTGGAGAAGGAACTGGGAATCCTGTGCGAACCTGTCGCTGGTACTGGTAAGGTTTTATTTGCAGGTGCAGCAGGCAGGCTGTACTTTGTTGTTATATGTGCTTTAACATTTTTGCCTAGTTACCTTTTGAGTCGACTCAAAAGTCAACTAGGTTTGAGGAGTAGCAGGCAGCACTTTGTTGTTATGTGTGCTTTAACTTTTTTTGCCTGGTTACCGACCCTGTTTCTTCTCCACCCCTCTTCCTTTCACGTGCCCCGCTTGCAAGTGCCAGTCTCTCCCTTTAAGCGTATGGTGAGCTTCCCAGCCCATGGAGAGGCACAGCAGAGAGCAGCTCGTTGCTGTCTCTGCCTTTGAGCTGCAGGGTGGTTTTGAGAATTCTCAGAAGCACCCCACAGCAGAGAGCAGCTCATTGCTGTCTCTGCCTTTGAGCTATTTGCCCAGCTGCCCACTTTCTTCGTCGCCACTCACCTAACCTCTTCCCACCCTTGTCTTCATTCGTCCAGGTGCTCCACTTGCAAGCACTAGTCTCTCCCTTCAAGCGTATGGTGAGCTTCCGAGCCCATTGGGAGGTGCAGCAGGCAGCATGGCAGAGCCATGGGCATTGGATGAGCCGGCTGCAGTGGCTGCTGCAGTGCCTGGAGTGGCTGCGGCACTGGTAGAGGCTGTAGATGCTGCTGCTGGTAGTACTGCTGCCACTGCTGCTGGCCCTGGTGCTAGTGTTGCTGCTGCTGCTGGCATGAGCACCACAGCTGCAGCTGCGGATGGTACCACTGAAACAGCAGAGAGGGGTGCAAGTGCGAGTGCAGGGGGTTTGGAGTTGACTCAAAAGTCAGCTGGAGCAGCGGAGAGGGATGGAGGTGCTGTTACCGGGAGTGGGTTCGGCGGCAGCCGTAGTGAGGTGGAGGAAAGGGCAGGAAATAGATCAGAGGCTGGAGGGACAGAGGCAGCAGAAGCAGGAGCAGCAGAGAAAGGAGCAGCTGCAACAGTGTCTGTAAATGCCCCTCTGGGGTCATCACTAGGTGTAGCTGCTGCTGCTGCTGCTGCTGCTGCTGCTGCTGCTGCTGCTGCTGCTGCTGCTGCTGCTGCTGCTGCTGCTGCTGCTGCTGCTGCTGCTGCTGCTGCTGCTGCTGCTGCTCCTGCCCCTGCTGCTGCTGTAAGCGTTACAGCCCCTGATGCCATTGCTGGTGCTGATCCTGCCGCTTATCCTGCTGCCGGTGCTGCTGCTGGTACTGGTGAGGGTGTTGTGGCTCGTGATAGGGTGGAGGAGCAGAGGTGGACTGGGTCTTGGCTCAGGGGATGTGATTGGATCCGATTCTCTGATAGCCAGGCGCTTAGCGAGCGAGTAGACGTTTCAAGGAAGCTTCCTGTAGGGTTAGGGTTAGGGTTAGGGTCAGGTTTAGGGTTAGGGTTAGGGTTTGGACAGAGGGCTTTGCAGGGGTTTTGCTTGGGTGACTGGCCGAGGGAGAAAGCTCGTGATCCTAGGATTCTTTCGAGTCAGAGTCGTGAGGAGAAATCTAACTTCAGCACTATGACTATACCAGCTTGGGCTTATAGCGGGGCTGTGGCTGTGGACAAGGAAGGGTCTGGGCGGGCTCTGATTGGAGGAATAGGAACGGGAGTAGCGCAGGGGAGAACGCCGGGGAAGCAGCAGCAGCAGCCACAGCAGCAGCCAGAACAATCGCAGCAGCATCGAGTGGAGGAAGGGGGAGGATCGAAAGTGGTAGAAGCAAAGGAAGGACTGAAACCAGCAGAAGCGACTTTGTCTATGGATTCAGGATCTAAGTCCCCCTCATGCAGCCCATTGTCTCAGGCGTCCACCAGGCGAGGCTCGTCCCTCTCCCTGCAAGCAGCAGGCTCCTCTGTTTCGCTGCAGGGCGCGAGGGAGTCAGGGGTTGACATGGCTGCTGCTGCTGCGGAGCTGGTAATGCGGAATGCGCTCTTGGTTCAGCAGTTTGGCCTGGCGATCCTGGGAGAAGGTGAACCTGAAACTGTAACTGGAAACGAACCTGGTGTCAAGCCTGGTGCTGAACCTGATGCAGAACGTGCGGCCAGAGTCGAACCGAAGCTGGAGTTAGCTTCTCAGGGTGAGGGTGCTGAAGAGAAGTTGGGGAGAGAGAGGCATGCTGGGACGGTGGAGAGCGGTGCTGTGGTTCAAGGGGAGGTACCAGGGTCAGCAGCTACAGGAGCAGCAGCAGCAGAGGCAGGAGCAGGCACACGAGAAGCAGGAGGAGCAGGAGAAGAAGGAAAAGGGGCAGGAGAAGCAGGGGCTGCTGTTGGGGCTGTGCGCGAAAGAAATGGGGGAGGAGGAGAGGCGAATGGGGTGGGGCGAGAGGGAGAGAAGGGCAAACCCAGGGAGGTGGATGGTGGTGCCGACTTTGGTCGCATTTTCAACCTGCTGACGGCTCAACTGGAGCAGCAGCACATGCATTCGCTACAGCAAGACTTGTTAGTGGAAAAGGACTCGAAACACGAGGGAACGTGCATGGAGGAAGCATTTTCAGATGCGCAGGGAGAGCTAGGAGCGGAGGGAGGGCAGGGCGGGAGCAGCTCAGTTGCTGTCCCGAGGTTTGTTCCTTTCGCTCTGAACGTTTCTCCCTTGGGGGAGGCGAGTGGAGACGAGAAGGAGGGCGAAACTGAGAGTGAGAGTGAGAGTGAGAGGAGTGATGGTGGTGAGCTTGGTGGGTCGGCCCAGGCTGCTCTCAGGGAGGCTGGGGCAATGGCAGAAGAGGAAAGGAGAGGAATGGAGTTGCGGACTGAGGCAGGAACTGAAGTGCGGGTTGGTGAAGCTGAGAGCAATGGACTGTCTGGCGTGGGAGCTGGAGGGAAGCTTGGCAGTGGCGGTGGTGGTGGTGATGGTGGGTCTGACCTACAGACCCATAGCTCTATGGAGGTTGACGGTGGTGCTGCTGCTCGAAAGGATCCTGCCAGAGACGGAGAGAAGAATGCCGGGAAGGTTTGTGCTGGTAGGGATGGGGGAGTGGGGTTTGGAGAAGGCGAGGAGAGGGAGGAGCGAGGGAAGGAGACCGAGGAGGGAGGAAAGGGCGAGGAGCAGGAGAGAGAGGGAGGAATGGGGGGTAAGGAGTCAGGGGAGGATAGGTTTGGTGGAGAGAAGGAGAATCTGGTTAAGATGCAGGCAAGAGAAGAGAGGGAGGGGAGGAGGGAAGATGGGGTAGCTGTTGATGGAGAGAGCACGGTGGTGTCAATCGAAGGGGTGCGTGCAGCTGTTGCTGCTGCAGTGGAACCAGTTAGTGGCATGCAAGCAGCAAGTGTAGGGTTACCAGCAGCTACAATGACGCCTGCTGCGCCTCTGAATGCTGTGTCTGATGCTCGCGTTTCTTCTAACTCTGAGCCTGCTGCTGAAGTGAAAGGCAAAGCACCAGGTTCTTCAGAAGCTTTGCAGCAGGAGAAGGGAGCTGTTGTTGCTACTGCTGCTACTGCAAGAGCAGCTGATGTGGGGATCCCTGCCGCAGAAGCTTTACCAGCTGAAACTGTATCTGCTGAGGCTGTAGCGGCCGAAGCTGGGGCTGTAGCAGGTGGAGTTGCAACTGCCAAGGCAGCACCCGCGGAGTCTGTTGCTGCCAATGAAGCAGATGCTAAGGCTGCTGCGTGTGCACAAGTGGTATCTGCTGACCGTATAGCTGCTGCTGCTGATGGGGTGACTGGTTGGACAGAGAAAAACACAGAGGTAGGCGGAGAGAGGAAGCAGGGAGTAGGGGATAGTGGTGAGGGAAGAAGTGATTCAGTGGATGGCATTAGGGAGAGGAGAGGAGCTGAAGCGGGTACAGAAGATGGAGAGGAGGAAGGGGCGAGTCTGGAAGGTGCTGCCTCTCGTTCTCATGATCTTCCACAGCTGCAGGTGGAGCAGCAGGAACAGCACGAGGAGGAGGCGGAGGAGGCGGAGGAGAAGGAGGAAGGGGAGGAGAAAGGGGAGGAGGACGGGGAGGAGGAAAAAGAGCAACAGAAGGACAAGCAGCAGCAGCAGCAGCGGTGGTTGCAGGTGCCATCTGATCTGTTTTGGAACCGCAATGCAGCAAAGGCAGGTCCGGTACTTAGGTCTCTCTTCCCAGGCATATTCACCACTAAGGGGCGCTTACCTAAGCAACATTTTCTCAAGGGAAACTGGTACTACCGGGACGGTATGGGCAAGGAGCAGGGCGGGGTGTCATTCACGCGCCTGCAATGGATGGTCAGTGCAGGGTTGCTGGTGGAAGGAACGAGTGTGTGGCGCAAAGAGGATGACCTCTGGCTCCCTGTGGTGAAGCTCGCCCTGCTCACGCCCTACTTGTCACAGTTGCAGGACCCTGCGTTTGTTTTCGCCCTCGGGCTGAGATTAGGGTTAGGGTTAGGGTTGGGTGTGGCCCCGCAGGTGCCTATGGCTCGGGATGGGTACCCCCTGGTGGTTCCGGGGTTGGATGGGGCGGAAAAGGGGGTGGTGTTGCGTGGGCCAGTGTTTGCTGCTGGTGGAGGCAGGGAGGGAGTGGTGGAGGAGGAGGATTGGGACCCTAGGTTGGACCGAGGGGTTACGGTGGATGCAGGGAGGGGGAAACGCAGTTTGTTGGGGCAAAAGGAGGGGAGGGATAGGGCTGAGAGGGGGGTGGTGTTGCGCGGGAGGGTGTTAGCTGCTGCTGGCGGCAGGGAGGGAGTGGTGGAGGAGGAGGATTGGGACCCTAGGTTGGACCGAGGGGTTACAGTGGAAGCAGGGAGGGGGAAACGCAGTTTGGTGGGGCAAAAGGAGGGCAGGGAGGTGAGGGAAGGGAGGGATGGGAGGGAGAAGAGTGGGGGCAGGGAGGGGGTAGAGATGGAGGGGCGTTGGGAGGATGTTGCTAGGGAGGGTGGCAGAGAGATGGTCTTGGTGAGGAGTGCTGGGAGGGAGGAGCTCGTGGGTGATGGGGGTCGAGGGGATGGAGATGGGGATTCAGAGGATGGGGATGGGGATGGGGTTGGAGATGGGGTTGGTGATGGGGTTGGGGATGGGGTTGGTGATGGGGTTGGGGATGGGGTTGGGGTGGGGGATGGGCTAGCGATATTGGTGCAGGCTGGGCTGCAGTCTGCCGCGTTAAGAGCTACTCCAGAACCAGATAGTAGACTACAATGTGGGAAACGTCTGAATGATATGGGTAGGGGTTGCAAGGATGAGGAGGTGGAGGAGGGGGAGGAAACGTGGGAGAGGATTGGGTTGATGGGGGAGATGGAGGGGAAGGTGGGAGGTGAGGGAACGGGGGAGAGGATTGGGGGGATGGAGAGGGGGGTGGGAAGTGGGGATTGTGAGAAGATGGAAGGAGCAGAGGCGGAGGGGATAGGGGAGGGGATGATGGAGGGAGTAGGGGAGGGGATGGGGGAGGCGGAGCAAGGGGTGGGGCATGGTCTGCTGTTTCTTGCAGCAGCATGGGAGTCGGTAGGTGGGGAAGTGGGTATGGGAGGGGAGAAGGGAGAGGGGCAGGAAGAGGAGAAAGCAGAGGAGCAGGCAGAGGGGCAGGCAGGCAAGAAGGCAGGGGAAGAGGCAGAGGAGAAAGAAGGGGAGAAGGGCGGGGAGAAGGGGCAGCAAGAAAGACCACTCGGGGAGGAAGGTTCTGTTTCTGACTGTGTCCAAGGACCAAGGGGTGCTGGCAGTGGTGGGTCATCCTGTCCTCTAGTGGAGGGGGCTGCAGCAGCAAGGGGAAGAGGAAAAGAGGATCTGACTATGGGAAATTTCAAAAAGGAGTCAGCTGGGAAGGGGGAGAAGGAGGCGGGTGATAGCAGTGCTGTAGATTTGGATGCTGCCTCAGGGTTGTGTATCGAAGGAAGGGTGGGTACGGGTGCAGGAGAGGGGCCGATGGGTGGAGGTGCAGGCACTGTAACAGCAGCAACAGCAGCAGCAACAGCAGCAGCAGTAGCAGTAGCAGCAGCAGCAGCAGCAGGTGCTGGCACTGTAGCATCAGCTGATGGTGGAGCGATGCTGGTAGGGGGTTCAACAGCAGGGGCTTTCTCAGGGTGTCTGCCCGAAGTGGGGCAGGAAAAAGATTTTCTCGAGCTGCCACAGAAAAGTCTGGCTGATGTGGGAAAGGAGAAGGATTTTGTTGAAATGCCGTTCAGCCGCTACTCCCGTCGCAGAACCATGGGAGTTGTTAAAGCCCATGTGCATGCCAGTGCCCCTCTTGGCCCCTCCGTAGCCTCTCATGTGATCCCTATAGCCTCTGTTCCAGCTCCCACTACTGAGGTCGTTGCCTCTGATTTGTTTGGTGCAGCTAGCGCTAAGTCTTCAGGTTTTGGTGCTGCTGCTCCCTCCGTTACAGTCACAGCAACCGAGGGGATACTAGGGAATCGCAGCAAGACGGAGGGGGAGGATGTGACTGAAAAGGAGGTGATAACCCTCCTCTCCTCAGGCCTCGTTAGTCCAGACCCCATTCGTGAGCCTGTTCTTTCTACGGGGCACTGTGGGGGGGAGGGTGGGGAAGATACTACTGGTGAAGGTACAACTGGTGCAGGTGCATGTGAGGGGCTCGGATGGAGGTATCACCACTCCATCCATCCTTGCCGCCAGAGCATTAGGGGTTCTGCGCCTGGGGAGAGTGAGCATGGGGAAGATTTGCCTGGGGGTGGTCTGCCTGTGGACGGTTTGCCTGGGGAGAGTGTGCCTGGGGTCGGTTTGCCTGGGGAGAGTGTGCCTGGGGTCGGTTTGCCTGGGGAGAGTGCGCCTGGGGTCGGTTTGCCTGGGGAGAGTGTGCCTGGGGTCGGTTTGCCTGGGGGCGGTCTGCCTGGAGGCGGTTTGCCTGAGGACGGTTTACCTGGGGACGTTGTGCCTGTGGGGTGTGCTCGTGTGGGGTGTGGAGGGGAGGGGAAGGCGGGGGAAGGAGATCAGAGTGAGGGTGTGTGTTATGGTGGAAGGATGGATGGGGGAATGGGGGGCAGGATGGAGATGGATGGGCATGAGGCCTCAGGATGGGGACGCAGGGGACAAAGAGAGGTGGGAAGCGGAGAGGAGGGGCACAGAGAGGAGGGGCATGGAGAGAAGGAAGTGTGTCCGGACGAGCGGCATGCAGAAGGGGAGCAGCAGTACGAATCAATACCACATGAGTATAAGCCGTGGTTAGGGCCAGGAGTTGGGTGGGCGGACAGTAGAGGGCTGTCAGATGCAGATGACTCACGTGTGGCCACTCCAGAGCTGGCAGGGGCAGCTGCGCTCACCACTCTTGAGGTTTTGCCTCAAAGGCCACACGAGTACAAGGCATGGGCAGTGCCAGGAGGGTGGGGGGATGGTAGGGGTTTGTCAGACGCAGATGACTCACGTGTGGCTACTCCAGAGCTGGCAGGGGCAGCTGCTCTCACCATGCTGCTTCCCTCCGCTGAGATGTTTGAGCTGACTCACAACAGGTCACCGCTGACTCACAACAGGTCACCGCTGACGCACAGCAGGTCACCGCTAACTCAGAACAGGTCACCACTGACTCAGAACAGGTCACCGCTGAGTCACAACAGGTCACCACTGATTTACAAGTCACCATTGACTCACAAATCACCGTTCATGGAGTCGATTCACAAGTCACCGTTGGTTGACGCAGCTCACGAGTCACCAATGGTGGAGTCGACTCACAAGTCACCTGCTGCTGTGGTCACTGTGCGGCTAGCAGCAGAGCAGGGAGAGGCAGGTAAGGTGGGAGCTCGCAAGGCAAAAGGAGAGCCCGCAGAGTTGAGAGCGGGAGGAGGAGGAGAGGCAGGAGAGGGAGGAGATGAAGGGGAAGCTGCGTGCATTGGTGAATTCAAGGCTGGCGGTGCCTCACTTGCTACGGCTGCGACTGCTGCGCGTGCTGATGGTGACGCTTCAGCTTCCGCCAGTGTTGGTGTTAACCCTACTTTGAAAGCGGACGTGGAATCACAAGGCTTCCGGAAAGATGCTGAAGGATTGGCTGGGGCAGCTGGAGGAGATGGGTTAGGAATAGGGAAGGGGGAGACGAAGCAGGGTGGGCAGAAGCAAGGAGAGGAGAAGCGGGGAGAGACGAAGCAAGAGAAGGAGGAACAAGAGGAGGAAGGGGACAGAGAGTCAGGGGAACTGGGGGAGTTTGCGGTTTGTGGCACTGACGGCAGTGGTGCAGCTGATGGTGCTGGCGGTTGTGGTGTGGGTGCTGGTGGTGTTGCCGGTGGTGGTGCGGGTGGTGGTGGTAATGCCGGTGGCGGTGCTGGTGGTAATGCTGGTGCTGGTGCTGGTGGTGGTGCTGGTCGTAATGCTGGTGGTGGTGCTGGTCGTAATGCTGGTGGTGGTGCTGGTCGTAATGCTGGTGGTGGTGCTGGTCGTAATGCTGGTGGTGCAGATGGAATGAGTGTACCGCGAGAGAAAAGCAGCGGGTCAGCCGCTGCCGCTGCTTCACGGGATGGGGGAGGAGCAGCAGAGAAACAGGGGCGTAAGGCACAGGGGCGGAAGGCACAGGAACGGGAGGAAGCACAGGGGCGGAAGGCACAGGAACGGGAGGAAGCACAGGGGCGGAAGGCACAGGAACGGGAGGAAGCACAGGGGCGGAAGGCACAGGAACGGGAGGAAGCACAGGGGCGGAAGGCACAGGAACGGGAGGAAGCACAGGGGCGGAAGGCACAGGAACGGGAGGAAGCACAGGGGCGGAAGGCACAGGAACGGGAGGAAGCACAGGGGCGGAAGGCACAGGAACGGGAGGAAGCACAGGGGCGGAAGGCACAGGAACGGGAGGAAGCACAGGGGCGGAAGGCACAGGAACGGGAGGAAGCACAGGGGCGGAAGGCACAGGAACGGGAGGAAGCACAGGGGCGGAAGGCACAAGGACGGGAGGAGGCAGCACAGGGGCGAGGTAAGCAGCAGCAGCAGCGCAGCCCCATCACCCACCGGAGCCCCCTCATTCAACGCTTACAGCAGCAACACACGCAGTCCCCTAGAAGCATGTCTCTGGAATCCGGGGAGGTGTTACCTGGGGACACCATATCAGGAGGCGTAGACTCCCCTGTTTCTTGCGGCGCCAAACCCACAGTTCGGAAAGGGGCGAAAGAGGAAGAGGAAGGGGAGGAGGCAGAGGAAGGGGAGGATGCAGAGGAGATACCCCGTGACCGGGCCTGTGGGCGTATTCGTGGCTCCTTGACTGCCCTATCTGCCCCTCCTGACCCTCCTGGCGCGTCTGACCCTTCTGCTCCGTCTGCTCGGTCTACCCTGCCTGTTTCGGTTCGGAAGCCTGTGGAGGTAGGGTTTCCGTACCTGCAGTCGTCGTTCTGGGTGCTGCCTTCTGCTTCGGTGGGGCGGGAGGTGCTGCCTCTCATTCTGCCTGCGCAGCTGGGAGGAGGGGCTGCGCTGGCAGTCACTCGAGCAGCAGCAGCAGAGGAGGAGGAGGAGCAGGAGAGGCAGGGAGGTTATGAGGGGCAGATGCGGCAGAGGCAGGGGGAGCAGCAGCATGTAGCTGCGGCAGCGGGGAAAGAGTTGGCCTTTGCCGCTGTGTCGAGTCATCCTGTGGAGGGGACAGGTTTGGAAGGACACGCAGTTGTAAGTGCAGGGGGCGAGCTTACAGCCTTACAGATGGTGTCCGTAATTCCATCATCAGAAGCTGCAACTGCAGCTGCAGCTGCCACAGCAGCCGCAGCAGCAACAGCAGCAGCAGAAGAAGAAATTCTGAAGGAAGTTGCTAGAAAAGCTGGCTGCTGTGACGGCTGGCAGTCAGCTTGCGGGCTTAGCTTCTTTGCTTATGTCCGATCCAAACTGCATGATGCAGCTTTGGCTGCTTTCCGAGCCAAGATCGCCAAGGCTGCACTTGCCGAGGCTCTGGATCGGTTCCTGGCCACTGGGAGCGCCGAGCTGCCTGGACCTGCTCCCGAACCTCTGCCACAGGGTCGGAGTGCAGGTGGGGCGCTAATCGGTCAGGTACGGAGGCAGGAGGTAGAGGATCGGGACGAAGTGGGGAGGAGGGACAATAAGGTTGGAAGAAAGCGGGAGGAGGAGGGAGATGTAGTGTTCAGGGAACGGCAAAAAATGAAGAGCCAGCAGGAGTTGTATAAAACGAAGGGTGGAGAGTCGAGGAAGAGACAGCGGGGGGCAGGAGAAGGGGCAGCAGGGGTAGGTGGGGCGGGTACGGCGGGTGGGGCAGGTGGAGCACTGAAAGGGCTTCCTGCAGTGAGAAGGAGGAGATTCCTGATGGGAGGAGACAGCAGCGATTCAGAGGAGGACCAAGGAGTGGCGGCAGTAGAGGCTCGGAAGAGGGTGAAGCAGGAGGAGGGCGCGCAGGGAGGAAGGGAGCGGCAGAGGAAGGGGTTGGGACAAGAGGTGGCTGTTGAGGGGAAGGGAGAGAAGATGGAAGGGAAGGAGAGGAGGGTGGTGAAACGGGAGTGGGAGCAGGAGGAGGAGCGGGTGGCGATGCAGCAGGGGAAGGCAGGGAGGAGTGGGAGAGAGGGGAATGAGGGGAGGCAGATGCAACAGCTCGTTGCAGGCCCAGGGGAGGATGGAGGTGGTTCAGGTGCTGCTGCTGCTGTTGATGCCTCTGCTGCTGCCACTGGTGCTGCTGCTGTTGGTCTTCCTGTCGATCACATGGCAATTCCTGGGCCGTTGATGGGTGTGAAGGTGGAGCCAGAATTGGTGGGAGAAGCAGGGGTCGTTGGGCTTTCAGGTGAACCGTCAGGTGGTTTTTCAGGTGATGTGAAGCCGGACAGGAGGTTGCCAGCAGGGACGGTACAGAGAAGGGGTTTCGAGTATGGAGAGACAGAACCAATCATCCTTCCAGACCCCCTGGCGAAGCTTCTTAGTGCCGCCATACATCCAGATGCATTGAATCCGGCCGATACGCTTTCTCTGCCGCCTCGTTCCGAAACACAGAAGGACCTCCAAACACAGGCCAGCGTAGAGCCGCAAGAGCTGGTAGTCCTTACAGCACACCAGACTTCTGAGGGGCCTCAAGCACCACTTCAAACACAGTCGAATGTGGGCTTGGCAGAGCTACTTCTGGGGGGGCTGAAGGGCGATGCTGCTCTGCTGGCACGCTGTGCTGTGGTGTGCCGTGCATGGTGTGAAGCCTTCCGGCGAGTGTGGCGGGGGCTGCAGCTGCTGGATCTGTCCAGCCTTGGGGCTCGCGTGCAGGACTCTGCTCTTGTAGCATTGGGGGTACGTAGCTCCTGTTCTCGTGCATGCTGTGGTGTGCCCTGTGTGGAATGAGGCCTTAGGGAGAGTGTGGCAGGGGCTGCAGCTGCTGGATTTGTCCAGCCTTGGGGCCCATGTGCAGGACTCTGCTCTTGTATCGTTGGGGGTATGTAGCTCCTTCACTACCTTTTAGATTGCTGGAGGTATGTTTAAGTCAATGACACTTAAAGTGAACACAGGACTGAGGTACCTTGCTCTTCGTGCCGCCCCCTCTCGCTTTGCATCTCTTCTGTTAGCCTGCCCTGCTTGCTTGTCGCTTCTCGCCATTCCTTCCTTGCTCCCTCCCGCTTCTCGCTCGTCTGATTCTTCCCCTCCCTCCTTCACCAGTTTCTCAACTCTTCCCTCCCACCCCTATCCAACCCCGACCCCATCTCAATCCCCATGTTCCCCATTCTCAGAAGTCCGCCCCACAACTTCTCCAAGCGCTCTCACTCGCCCACTGCACCGCTCTCACCCCCACCGCTCTCCACCGCTTCCTTTCCTCTCGCCCATCCCTCTCTGCCGTCATCATCACTGGTTGCCCCCGACTCGCCCCTCTCGCCGCCTCCTTCCCACACCTCCTCTTCCTCACCCTCTCACCTGCACGCACACTTGTCCAAGTCTCTCCAAACCAGAAACTGAGTGCCTTTGGTGCTTCGGCTCCTGCTCCCGCTCCGAATTTCTCTGTTGCTGCTGCTGCGTCTGAAATGGTGCCTCCTGCTGCTGCTGCTCCTGCTGCCACTGCCACTGCTGCTGCTCCTGCTGCTGTTTCCCCTGGGCGGCCCAGGCCCCCACGAGGAGCCCCACTGGCAGCAGCAGCAGCAGCGTCACTGGCCAGGGCAATCGCAGCAGCCAATGTGGATGGGCGGTCGCAGAAGGGGGGTGCCCGAGCTTCTGGGGGGGGTGGAAGGGCAGCAGGAGGGGGAGTCTCACGTGGTGCTGCTGGCGCTGGTGCCGGTGCTGCCCGTGGTGCTGCTGGTGCTGCTGGTGCTGCTGCTGCTGCTGGTGTTGCTGCTGGTGGTGGTGGTGCTGGTGGCAAGAGGTTGGGTAGAGGAGCAGGGGGAGGGTTGGGGACTGGAGGGAGTATGGCTCATCTGCCTGTTGCTTCATCGAATGCAGGCAGTGGTCAGTCCAGTGCCGCTGCTGCTGCTGCCTCTGCTGATTCCGGGGGGAGAAGCCATGGGAATGCAGGCAGGGTAGGCGCAGGAGGAGCAGGGGGGGCAGCGGGAGCAGGTGGGGCAAGGGGAGCAGGAGCAGGGGGAGCAGGAGGGTTGGGGGGCGGAGAGAGGGGTTGGGAGAGGAGGGGCGTGGAGAGACGGAGGGAGACAGATGGGGATGGGAAGTGGGGGAAGGACAGGCAAAGGGGGGGCATGGAAGGGGCGGGTAAGGACAGAGGCAGGTCGGATCTACAGCAAGAGAGGAAGAAGGGCGGCATGCTGCCGCCCACTGGGGGGCGGCTGTCCCTCAAATCCAGCTCAGGACAGGGCGCGCCAGGGGGAGGTAGACCTGGGGCAGGGCGGACTGGCGCAGGGGGAGGAGCCAGTGGGGGAGGAGGCTGGGGGGCGGGGGGGCAGGCGGGGGCAGGGGGGAGAGGGGGCGGAGGGGGAGGGGTGGGGGAGAGGAGGGAAGGGTTCAGGTCGCCGCCTGCAGTGGGGAGGGGGTTAGGGAGGGGGGATATGGAGGGGGAGGCGGTGCGAGTGCTAGAGAGGGAGATAGGGGGGGCCATTCGCAGGCTGCAAGAGTGGGACAAGCAACACTACTTCTCCAGGGGGATTCTGCTGGTACGTGTGATTCAAGTCCCGCTTTGCCAATTTTTCTGTGTTCGTTCTTTTCATTTCTTTCTTTCTTTCTTTCTTTTCTTTCTTTCTTTCTTTCTTCCTTCCTTCCTTCCTTCCTTCCTTCCTTCCTTCCATCCTTCCTTCCTTCCTTCCTTCCTTGCTTTCTTTCTTCCTTCCTTCCTTCCTTCCTTCCTTCCTTCCTTCCTTCCTTCCTTCCTTCCTTCCTTCCTTCCTTCCTTCCTTCCTTCCTTCCTTCCTTCCTTCCTTCCTTCCTTCCTTCCTTCCTTCCTTCCTTCCTTCCTTCCTTCCTTCCTTCCTTCCTTCCTTCCTTCCTTCCTTTCTTTCTTTCTTTCTTTCCTTATTTGCTCTTCAGGAGAGTCCGTTGCGTTGATGCACTTATGCCATAATTGACTGCCCTGACTACAAAATTTTGGTTGTCATTTTCTTGTGAATCTCCTCTCCACAATTCCAACCACAGGATGCAGCACCAGGCGCAGCAGTAGGAAGTGGGGCCGGTCGCAAGGGGCGACTCTCCTTGGATCTGCCCACTCTGGAGAGGCGGTTGAAGGAGGGCGTGTACAGTGACGCTTCTGGCTCCGCTGCTGCCATTGCCCGTGCCGCTGCTTCGACTGGAACCACTGCAGCAGGAGGAGGAGGAGGAGCAGGGGGGAGTGCAGGGGGTGCCTTGACAGCAGTGGGAGGAGCAGGGTTGGCTGGTGGTTCTGCAGTGGTAGGGAGTGCAGCGGCAGTGGCGGCGGCGGCGGTGGCAATGGGTGTGAGGGTGAACGGGCTCGCTCGATTCGAGAGTGACATTCAGCTCATGTGTCGCAGCGTGTTCACGTGAGTCGCGGGTTTTTACTCGAGTGTGTCCGTTTTGTTGATTCATAAACTCTGTAAATTCTGGATCACACTCTGCACATGACAAGCTTTTGTGTTTCCCTCTGTTTATCGCCTGTGCTCCCCTCCCCCCTCTTTCCGGTTTCATTCTGTGCAGTGGTGTGAGGGAGAAGTAAATCACCAGATTTCCTGCCGGCCCCTTTTGAGTCGACTCAAAAGTCAAAAGTCACCTTTTGAGTCGACTCAAAAGTCAAAAGTCACCTTTTGAGTCGACTCAAAAGTCAAAAGTCATCTTTTGAGTCGACTCAAAAGTCAAAAGTCACCTTTTGAGTCGACTCAAAAGTCAAAAGTCACCTTTTGAGTCGACTCAAAAGTCAAAAGTCACCTTTTGAGTCGACTCAAAAGTCAAAAGTCACCTTTTGAGTCGACTCAAAAGTCAAAAGTCACCTTTGAGTCGACTCAAAAGTCAAAAGTCACATTTTGAGTCGACTCAAAAGTCACAAGTCACCTTTTGAGTCGACTCAAAAGTGGTGTGAGTGAGAAGTAAATCACCAGATTTCCTGCCGGCCCCTCCCTTGATGCCCCCTTTCCCCCATTCCCCTTTGTAACTCGCTTGCAGCAACGTGAATGACAAGTCCCCGATGTATCGAGCAGCGCGCCAACTCTTCGCTCTCAGCCGTTCCACCATCGACGGCATCAAGACCAGCTTTCTCACCTCCCTCCTCCCTTCCCCCTTATCAATTGATGTGCAGCAACGTGAATGACAAGTTCCCCATGTATCGAGCAGCACACCACCATCAACGTCATCAAGACCAGCTTCCTCACCTCCCTTGCCCTTTCTTCCCTCCTTTTCCCCCCCTCTCCCTTACTCCTGTCCCGTTTCACTGTATGCAGCAACGTGAATGAGAAGTCCCCCATGTATCGGGCAGCGCGCCAACTCTTCGCTCTCAGCCGTTCCACCATCGACGGCATTAAGACCAGCTTTCTCACCGCCCTTGCGGCGACACATATGGCTTCCAGTGATCGCCCTGCTTCTGCTTCTGCTGCTTCTGCTGCTGCTGGCAGCAGTTTTGGAGGTGCTGGTGGTGGTTTCAGTGGTGCGAGTGGGGTAGGGGCTGGGTCTCGAATGGTGTTGGGGAGGGGGAATGGGCCTGTTTCTGCGAGAACTGGAGGGAAGAGGGTGAGAGAGGGAGCAGGGGTGAGACGAGTGAGTAAGAGGAGGAAGAGTGTCGCTGATTCGGATAGCAGTGGGTATCAGAGTGATTCGGAGGAGGAGGGGAGGTTTGGGTATGAGATGGAGGAGGAGGAGTGGAAGGGAGATTCGGGCCGAAACATCTGGTCAGAATCAGAAGAGGAGGACGAGGAGGAGGAGGATGAAGAGGAGGAGGAGGAGGAAGGAGAAGAGAGAGGGGATTCGGACTTGGACGAATTCGAATCGGCGGAGGAGGAAGGTTCTGATGCAGGTTCCGAGACCAAGAAAGCTGCAGCAGCCGCAGCTGCCGCCGCTGCTACAGCTGAAGTCGCAACCACTAAGGTGAAACTCGGGAAACTGCAATCAAAAACTGGTGGACGCAGGGGAACCGAAACAGCCCACGGTGCTGCCAGCAAAGCGAAGCACACCCCAGCTAACGGTGGCGGACATGGTATCAGAGCAGGCCGTGCTGACTCCTCCTCTCCCTCCTCTCCTGCCACCCCAGCCACCTCGGGCACCTCTTCTCCCTCAGCCTCCTCCCCCGCCTCCTCTGCTTCAGAGGGAGAGGAGGAGCCTGAGAGTGAGTCAGGCTCAGATGCCCAGTCTTCTTGCTCCCTGGGTGGGTCTGTGCGGCCTGTGGGAGGGAGCCGGAAGGGAGGGAAGCAGGTGAAAGGGAGGGAAGGGAGGCGGCGGAAGCAGCAGCGGCAGCAGAAGAAGCGGAGGAGAAAGGAGGAGGAGGAGGGCAGCGAGCAGGGCGGGAAAAGCAAGGGGAGGGGCAGGGGAGCGAAACGAGAGGAGCGGACGGGGAGGAGGAAGGGAGAAGGGGCGGAGGCGAGGGGAGGAGAGCGGAAGGGCCGGGTCCGCACCAGTGCTGGTACAGCCAGTGCCGGCGGCGCCGCCGCCGCTGCCGCTGGGAGCAAATCCGACAACTCAAAGGCAGGCCGGGCAGGGGAAGAAGAAGAGGCAGGCGAAACCTCCTCCTCCTCCTCCTCTTCCTCCTCAGAAGGGTCTAAGGGATCGGGTCCTGTGGTGGTGGTGAATGTGGCTGATGAGGAGATGAGGAGACATTGGGGGAACAGGATGACAAGGGCCGCCATGGTGCCGCCAGTGACTCGGCAGTACGAGGTGGTCGAGGAGTATGTGATTGTGGAGGAGGAGGAGGGCGTGCGGAGGAAGATGCGCGTGGAGCTGCCCGCTGGATTTGCTGAGAAGGCCCGGCAGGCGCAGGCCATGGTTGATGCTAACAGGGTGAGCTGGGCTGGGGAATGAGAAACAGGACAGGGTAATTTGGAAGGGAAACGAAGAGTGGGCTGGAAGGGAAGGTGCACCTCTCCCCTTTCCCGTCCCCCATATTCCACCCCATACAATACCCGTCCTTTCCCCCACACAAATTGTACATACACCTGGAGCTCCCAGAAGTGAGGGTTTGGCGGCCGCGCAAGGCAGTGGGGCCGGAGGTGGGCGAGCAGGAGGTGTATGGCATCGACCCCTACACACACAACCTCAACTCACTACTCCCCGTCCTTTTCCCCGTTGCGCTTTCTCTCCTCTTCCCCCTGTCAACAGTACATACACCTGGAGCTGCCAGAGGTGAGGGATTGGCGGCCGAGAAAGGCAGTGGGGCCGGAGGTGGGCGAGCAGGAGGTGTACGGCATCGACCCCTACACACACAACCTGCTGCTGGACACGCTGCCTTTCATGCCTCCTACTGAGACGGACGAGGAGAGGCACTCCTTTATCGAGGATGTGAGTGCCCTGGTTGTGTGGTTGTCGGTGTAGCCTGTAGTAGGGGCATTGCTTGTGGTTTGATGGATGCTGTTGCAGCCTCTAGAGGTTGGGGAGGGGACGTGCTGCTGGACACGCTGCCCTTCATGCAGCCTGCTGAGACGGACGAGGAGAGGCACCCGTGCATTGAGGATGTGAGTGCCCTGGTTGTGTGGTTGTCGGTGTAGCCTGTAGTAGGGGCATTGGGGATGTGAGTGCCCTGGTTGTGTGGTTGTCGGTGTAGCCTGTAGTAGGGGCATTGGGGATGTGAGTGCCCTGGTTTTGTGGTTGTCGGTGTAGCCTGTAGTAGGGGCATTGGGGATGTGAGTGCCCTGGTTGTGAGGCACCCGTGCATTGGGGATGTGAGTGAGTGCTGGGATGGGATTGTGTGGTTGTAGCTGTAGGGGAACTGCGTGTGGTATGAGAGAGGCAAGGTCCCTGTGGATGGAACTAGACCTGATGCCCCTGGTGGCGTTCACGAAGATCACTCCTCCGCTCCCCCTGTCGTCCCCCCCCCCCCCCCCCACACGCACCCCTGCAGCGCCTGCACCCCTGCAGCGCCTGCACCCAGCGTTACTGGCAGCGTCCTTGAGGGGAAAAGTGCCCCTGGAACTCGACTTGATGCCCGTGGTGGCCCGGCGCTCATGAAGATTGATGCGGACAAAGAGGGCGACCACGCTCTGATCCTCATGCTTGCTTCCCCTCTCTCTTTCACCCACACAAACCCATACCCGCCTACAGCACCTGCTCCCAGCACTCAATCAACTGGCCGCATCTTTCCGAGGCAAGGTCCCCTTGGAGCTGGATCTGATGCCCGTGGTGGCGCTCATGAAGATTGATGCGGACAAAGAGGGCGACCACGCTCTGATCCTCATGCTTGCTTCCCCTCTCTCTTTCACCCACACAAACCCATACCCGCCTACAGCACCTGCTCCCAGCACTCAATCAACTGGCCGCATCTTTCCGAGGCAAGGTCCCCTTGGAGCTGGATCTGATGCCCGTGGTGGCGCTCATGAAGATTGATGCGGACAAAGAGGGCGACCATGTTCTGATGGCTTATGCCTGCCTTCCTCCTCCCCTTCTTCCACTCCCCCACCCGCCACCCCCTGCACATCCCCCTTGCAGCACCTGTTGCCTGCACTAAATCAACTGGCCGCGTCCTTCCGTGGAAAAGTGCCTCTAGAGCTGGACCTGATGGCCGTGGTGGCCTCATGAAGATCGCTGCTGACAAGAAAAGCGACCACGCGCTGATGCTCATTCTTGCCTCTTCCCCCCTTCCCACAACCCTTCGCACCCCTGCAGCGGCTCTTGCCAGCACTCAATCAACTGGCGGCGTCCTTCAGAGGCAAGGTGCCCTAGGAGCTCGACTTGATGCCCATGGTGGCGCTCATGAAGATTGACGCGGACAAGAAGGGCGACCACTCTCTAACACTCTCCTTCCTCTCCTGTATCCCGTACACCCCTCCTTACAGCGCCTGCTGCCTGCCCTGAACCAGCTAGCAGCCTCGTTCAGAGGCAAGGTCCCCTTGGAGCTGGATCTGATGCCCGTGGTGGCGCTCATGAAGATTGATGCGGACAAGAAGGGCGACCATGCGCTGAGGGACCTGTGCAAGACGCTTTACTCCGCCATGCGGGCACGGAGGAACATGAAGAAACCCGACAAGTACCTGGCTTACAGAAAGGTATGTCTTTCAGTCAGCAAGTACGGTATATTCTATTGCAATGCAAGGAGTGCGCACTCACAAGAAGGGCGACCACGCATTGAGGGACCTGTGCAAGGCGCTGTACCCCGCTATGCGGGCGAGGAGGAACATGAAGAAACCTGACAAGTACCTGGCTTACAGGAAGGTGCGTGCTGCACTCTTGACTGGTACCCTGGTAATAATAGGTAGGAAGGCGAGTGGTGCAGAGACAACAAGCATGGTGTGGGTTGTAGAGAGGGCAACCATGTGCTGAGGGACCTGTGCAAGACGCTTTACTCCGCCATGTGTGCACGGAGGAACATGAAGAAACCCGACAAGTACCTGGCTTACAGGAAGGTGCGTGCTTTGCTCCAGGCATTTAGGATGGTGAGTGGGTTTTTTATTTGGGAGGACTTCGTGGTGAATGGAGCTCTTCAGGGAGGTGTATCCTCCATGCTTTGGCTAGTATGGTGCTTTAGTATCCAGCGCCGGCTCGGCTCTCGTCCTGCTTCTGCTCTCACTCCTGCTCCCCCTTCCTCGCCCGTTCCCGCTTCTGCTCTCCTGCATCTGCTCCCTGCCGTTCTTCTTTTTTGAGTCGACTCAAAATAGGTTCCCGCTTCTCCTCCTGCATCTGCTCCCTGCCTTTCTTCTCCCAACAGGCCCAGGGTGTCGTGTGCAAGGCGCCGGAGGGCATTCTCAAGGAGGATTCCGTGATGGATTTTTTTTGGGGGAGGTGTACGCTCCTTGCTTCGGTTATGGTGCTTCAACCTCCTGCTCCGCTCCCACTCCCACTCCTGCTCCTGTGTGCGTCTGTGTCCCCCCATTCTTGTCTGTTCCAGGGCCTGGGTGTGGTGTGCAAAGCCCCTAAGGGCATCCCTAAAGAAGATTTCGTGGTGGAGTTCTTTGGGGAGGTGTACCCTCCGTGCCCGCCTTGGCTGGTACTAGTAGGTTGCTTCAAGTTGCCGCTCCTTCTCCCACTCTTGCCTCCTCCCTCCTTCTTGTCCCTCACAGGGTCTGGGCGTGGTGTGCAAGGCGCCTGAGGGCATTCCCAAGGAGGATTTCGTGGTGGAGTTCTTTGGGGAGGTGTACCCTCCGTGGCGGTGGCACGAGAAGCAGGACGGCATTCGCATGATTCACAACAAGGAGGCTGTTTCTGAGTTTTACAACATTCTGCTGGAACGGCCAAAGGGTGACGAGGCGGGGTACGATGTGTTGGTGGTGGATGCCATGCATCGAGCCAACTTTGCTTCTCGCCTCTGCCACTCCTGCAGCCCCAACTGCGAAGCCAAGTGAGTGGCCTGCTTCTCCTAGTTCGTTCAAGAGCAGGCGTTTTGTTAAGCTGGGTTCTGACTAGGCGAATCGTTTTTCGTCAAAAGCATTATTCATTGGAGCAGGCTGTTTTTTTTTTTTTAACGGTAAAAGTGACTTGAGTTTCCCCTTATTCCTCCATGTGCGCAACGTTTTGTCATCTCCCAGGGTGGTGGCAGTGGATGGGTCATATGTGATTCACTTGGCACCTCATTGCTCTCCCTCCTTTCTCCCATACTTGCCTTTTTTCAGGGTGGTGGCAGTGGATATGTTTTACATGATAGGTGTGTACGCCATTCGCCACATCCTCATGTGTTGTCTTCTTCCACTCCGCCCCCATGTGCTCTCTTGTTTGTTCCCGTTGCAGGGTGGTGGCAGTGGACGGGTCGTACATGATCGGGGTGTACGCCATCCGCCACATCTTGCCAGGGGAGGAACTCACATTCGACTATAACTCTGTCACTGAGGTGTGTATGAAGCAAATGGTGAGTGAGGTGTGAGAAGCAATGAGGTGAGTGAGGTGTGAGAAGCAACGAGTTAGCTGACTCTGCCATAGTAGCTGACCACTGCTCTCACCTCACCTGCCAGGGGAGGAGCTCACATTCGACTGCAACTCCATCACAGAGGTGAGGGCGATAAGTCATTGAGATGGGAAAGTGGGAGATGCGGCGAGGTGAGGTTGAGTGAGGCAGCGAGGTGAGGTTGAGTGAGGCAGCGAGGTGAGGTTGAGTGAGGCAGCGAGGTGAGGTTGAGTGAGGCAGCGAGGTGAGGTTTAGTGAGGCAGCGAGGTGAGGTTGAGTGAGGCAGCGAGGTGAGGTTGAGTGAGGCAGCGAGGTGAGAGGGAGATGGGGAGGGAGAAGCACAAGACATGATCGGCGTGTTTTGAGGCGCCTCAAAAGAAGCACAAGACATGATCGGCGTGTACGCCATTCCCTTCGCCACATCTTGCCTAGGGAGGAGCTCACCTTCGACCATAACTACGTCACTGAGGTGAGGCCGATGCAGAGACAAATGGAGAAGCATTTTTCTTCAACAGTAGCTTTTGCTGCAAGGACAGCATTTTTCTTCAACAGTAGCTTTTGCACTTGGGAAGGGTGGGGGGGGAAGTGGCAGAAGGCAGTCCTACATTCACGTGATGGTTTTTGAGAATTCTCAAAAACCAGCAAGTGGCAGAAGGCAGTCCTACATGCACGTGATCATCCAGCACGATGAGGTGGTGCGGCGGCAAGGGGGGGAGAGTGGGGGGGCTTGTGCTTGTAGAGCCTTTTTAACTCGGTTTCTCTTCCTCCTTTCTCCCCTTCCCCTTCCCCACATTAGAGTGTGGAAGAAAACAAGCAGGCTGTCTGCTTATGCGGCCACCGCTACTGCAAGGGAAGCTACCTGCACCTGGGGGGAGGCCAGTCGTCGTACACGCACGTGATCAGCCAACACCATGCGTTCTTCCCCTGTCCCATCCCTCCCCCCATCAGAGCGTAGAAGAGTACAAGCAGGCCGTATGCCTATGCGGCCACCGCTACTGCAAGGGCAGCTACCTGCACCTGGGAGGAGGGCAGTCGTACACGCACGTGATCAGCCAGCACCATGCGGTGGTGCGGCGGCATGCGCTGCTGCTGATGGCGTCAACAGGGGGAGGCATCACGGAGGCCGAGGAGAGTGCTTTGCGCCGGGCTGGCATTGGCAGCAGCTTGCTCTCTGACCTCCCAGATTGGGCCATCCGCTACACTGCCCTGCTTGTAAGTGGTTACGTGCTGCTTTTCTCACTGTCGTAGGCTGGTGAGGCGGCATGCGCTGCTGCTGATGGCGTCAACAGGGGCAGGCATCACGGAGGCCGAGGAGAGTGCTTTGAGAAGGGCCGGCATCGGCAGCAGCCTGCTTTCGGAGCTTCCGGATTGGGCCATCCGTTACACCGCCTTGCTGGTGAGTGCTGCTGTGCTCTCTCCACTAGCGCTTGACCCTCTACTAGCGCCTTACGTATAAGCGGCAGTCCTACACGCACGTGATAAGCCAGCACCATGCGGTGGTGTGGCGGCACGCGCTGCTGCTGATGGCGTCCACAGGGGGAGGCATCACGGAGGCCGAGGCGATTGCTTTGCGCCGTGCCGGCATCGGCACACCACTCGTTACCTGTTACCGGAGCTGATACTCGTGGAGCGGGAAGCAAAAGGGAATCATTCTTTGCCTGATTCGTTCTTTTTCTCCTTCATCTCTTTTGCTCAGATGGAGTTCATCGAGGAGGAGAAGTACCTACTACCGGAGCTGATAGTAAAGGAGCGGTTGGGCGAGAGGGCAAAGCAGGGCAGGCACAGGCGTCCCTCTGATGCCGCCGCCGCTGCTGCTGCTGCTGCTGCTGGTAGCGACTCTGCTGGTGCCAGGGCGGCTGTTGCTGCTGGTGGTGGTGGTGCTGCTGCTGCTGCTGATGGCGCTGCTACTGGCGGTAATGGTGCGGGTGCTGCTGTTACTGGTAACGATGCTAATGGTGGTGGCACTGAGAGGGAGCAGGGAAAAGGGGCGGATGAAAAGGTAGGAGGAGGAGTGTGTAAAGTTGAGGAGGGAGAAGGAGGGGGAGTGGGAGGTGGAGGCGGAAGAGGGGGAATAGGGGAGCTTGCTTCTGGTGCTGCTGGTGTGAATGGTGGGAGGCGCGATGGGAGTGGGGATGGGAAGGAGGAGGAAGATGAGGCAGATGTGAAGGCAGCTGCAGCAGGAATTGAGAGGATGGATATGGCAGGGAGAGGCAGGGAAGCGGATGGTGGTAGCGGCGGCGGTAGTGGTGGTTTTGCTGCTGCTGATGCTGGTTGTAGGGCCAATGGCAGTGCAAAAGGTGCCGTTGCTGGTTGTGACATTCGTGCTGTGAATGGTTTTCACAGCAATTCATTGAAGAATGCTGGTCTTGCTGCTAGTGTGGTTGGGAACAGTGCTAGAGACGGCGCGAGCGGTGCAGAGGGGCATGATTGCAATGATGGCAACGATGGTGATGCCAAGGGTTGTGATGGTAAGGGTTGTGATGCCAATGGGGCTGGCTCTAGTAACGGGGATGGTGATAAGGAGGATACTGAGAGTGAGGAGAGTGAGGAGGGGAGCGACGAGGAATACGCTCAGGAGGAGGAAGAGGAGGATGATGAGGATGGGTACTCGTCAGGTGAGGAGAGGAGGAGGCGGAGGAAGAGGAAGAAGAGAGAGAAACAGCAGAAACAGAAGCAGCCGGAGCAGCAGGGTCAGGGGCAGCAGAAGCAGGAGCAGCAGGAAGAGGAAGAGGAGGATGAAGAGGAGGGGTGGGATTTGGAAGAAGATGCAAGAAACGAGGTGGGTTGTTTTTCTCTTTTTTTCTTTTCTTTTTTTTTTCTTTCTTCCCGAGCACAACGCCAAAAAAAGCTGAGGACGCAGGAAGGAGATGGATAATAGGTAGCAAGGTGAGAGGGCATGAGCTCGTGCACAAGGTGTGGTGTGGGAAGGCTAGTTCTGAGGCGCCTCAAAACAAGGTGTGGTGTGGGAAGGCTAGTTTTGAGGCGCCTCAAAACAAGGTGTGGTGTGGGAAGGGCTCTGCCGTTGCCAGCCGTGCTGCAACTGTCTGCTGCTGCTGCTGTCTGCTCTGCTTCATGATTTGCTTTCCCCTGTCCCCTCCTTCCGACCTTCAGGCTGGAGGAGTGTACCTAGAGGAGGTGCGGCTTTTGAGAATTCTCAAAAGTCGCACCAATGTACCAAGGAACACTACCTAGGCACGCTGCAGGACCTGGCGATCACAATGGGCCGCGTGCGCTACTGCCTCAAGTCACTCTATATGTCTGCCTTACTCTCGTCTCCCCTCTCCTGTTCCTTATCCGCACCCTCAGGCCGAGGGCGTCTACCAAGGCACGCTGCAGAACCTGGCCTCAAGTCGCTCTCTCTGTTGCCTTCTGCTCCTCCTCCTTTCGCTTCTCCCCACCCTCAGGCTGAAGGAGTCTACCTAGGTCGCTTACAGAACCTAGCGATCACAATGGACCGTGTCCGCTACTGCCTCAAGTCGCTGTACGGAGATCCCAAGGCCGGCCCGCCGCCCCTGCGCCTGGTGACGGGGCACAAGGTCGTGCGCAAGGTGTGGGGCGGCGAGGGCTCCGTGGTGGCCGTGCTGCTGCCTCTCTTGGTGATGGTGGTGGTGTTGGTTCCATGATCTGCTTTCCCCTGCCCGGCCCCCTCCTCCCCACCCGCAGGCTGAAGGAGTGTACCTGGGGAGACTCCAAAACCTGGCAATTACAATGGACAGGGTGCGATACTGCCTCAAGTCGCTGTACGGAGATCCCAAGGCCGGCCCGCCGCCCCTGCGCCTGGTGACGGGGCACGAGCTCGTGCACAAGGTGTGGGGCGGCGAGGGCTCCGTGGTGGCCGTGCTGCTGCGCTGCATCGCCCTGCACCTCGACCGCCCGGCGTTTGTGGCGTTCCGGCAGCGCGTGAGGGAGAGGACACCTAAACCCAATGCTCACGCGCTCAAACGCAGCCTGTTGTGGTGAGTTGTGGGGAAAGTGGCAGGGTTTAGGGTTCGGGGTTGCATAAGTGTGGGGGGGAAAGGGGGGGTAAGGGAAGAGGATGTGCGAGGGTGGGTGGGCAAGCACAACCGCAGTTACTTTCTCTGCTCCTTCTCTCACCTCGGTGGCTGATTCTCTCCCCTATTCTCACCTCTCTCCCTCTTCCTCTCCTGTTCTCTGATTTTTTCTCGGTCCCCTTTTTCCCTTTGCATTCTTCTCTTTCCCAGGCTGCGGGATGAGCTACTTCAGCTGCCCGTGACTGCAGGCAGCCGAAACGACGCAGCGGCCGATCTGATCCATCTATACGCCTACACCACCAACGTATTCGCCTTGCACGAGTACCCCCCTTTCGACTCCCCACCCATGACCATAGTCGCATCTGACCTCGGCCGAAACATCGCCTCGCCCTCTCCCTCCGTCCCACCGCCCTCCTCCTCCTCCTTCGCACAATACCCGCAGCAAGACGAGTGGGAGTGGGTGAAGGAATACGACAGCGATTACATTTATGGGCAGCTGATATTTTGGTTCAAGCAGACGCTGGTGGATCCGGGCAAGGCGTTGAGGGCGTTGAGAAGGGGGTGTCTTCTCTTGCCAGACCCATCGTCTTGTTACTCCAAGAACCCGCTGCAAGCTCTGCCGAGGGCGTATGGGCAGAGGGAGAGGAGGTCGCTGCTGCATCGCATGGTGAGCTCTGTCAGTGATGAGTTATGTTGATATTCCGCTTTTCCCGGCTGTTTCTCCTCCATCCCTCTCCCCTCCCTCCCATCCCTTGTCTCCCCTCCCTTCCTTTGGCCCTCCCTCATAATGTTCTCCCTTGTCTCTGCTACTGCGCACCCAATCCCACCCCCTCAACACACAATCAATTCCTGCCCTAACAGGAAAAGATGCCCGAGAAGCCGTGGCCCAAATCGTCCGAATCGTCCATCTGGGACTTCCGGTCAGCCCGAAAACTTTTCGGCTCGCCAATGCTTGATGCTGCGATCGCAGCGAAGCCGTTGGATCCTGAGATGGTGGCTTGGTTCAAGAACCGACCAATCACGTACGTTGGCCCATATGACACGTAAGCGAAGTGAGTAATGAGTGAGTAGCAAGCAGTGACATGCACCAGAACGCATGTAGATAGTGACTCGGAGGATAGTGTAGGCCTGTAGCTGGCTAGTCGCTGAAAGTCTACGAGGACAACTTCACTGCTGCGGTCTTTCAGGCGGTAATAGCAGTTGTCGGGACGCATTAAGGATGTAGGATGTTTAGCTTCAGGTGGTGGCTGAGTGCCATAGCTCTGACAAAATCGATTGAGCAGCCATCGTGGAAGAATGGATGAGGGTTGTAGATTCGATCTGGTGGACGCAGCAACACAGCAGGTTGGGTTGGAGGAGCTCCATGGAGCACTGTGCAGATAGCAGCCGGTAATTAGGCTGGATATGTTCGAGAATCCCTACTGGAGCAGCAGGCAGTTAGGCAAGAGGGTTGGAGGATCCCCAATGGAGCAGCAGCAGATCTCTCATGCACTGCGCGGATAGCAGCAGGTGGTCAGGCTAGGTGATGGAGCTGAGTGAGAGGAGCAACATGCGAACTCGGTTTGTCATGCGCGAACAGAGGTAGTTAGGCTGGATGGGTTGGAGGATCTCCAATGGAGCAAGCAGCAGATCTCTCAAGTGCTGCACTGATAGCAGCCAGCAGGTAGTTAGGCTTGATGGGTCAGGATTCCCACTGGAGCCGTAGCAGATCTCTCAAGTGCTGCACTGATCCCAACAAGTGGAACAGACAAGCTCATTCTGTTTATACACGAAGGAGCAGCAGGCATTGCATGGGTCCTCTACAGAGCTAGATGTCACGATACGGTAGAAGAAGCAGCAGCTGCGAGTAGTGGAGGGGCCATTACTTACTGCTGCAGACAAACTTGCAGCTGAGCATCACCTGGGTTAGCAGGGTTCCTCTGTGTATACATGCATGGAGCAGCATTGGTGCTGTGTTTCATGCACCTCTGTAGGCTCGACTGGGTCGTCGCCAGCAGGGGAAATAGCATTGGAAGCCAAGCTGATGGATATACTTACGCTTGCAACATATTAGTTGCAGAGCAGGTTGACCTGGTGGTTGACCAGACACAATACCGTACCACAACTGGCAGTAACTAACAGACTGATCCATTGACCTAGAAACATTATTGACATAAGATTCTGAAGCTTGCCTCTTGTCTGCAATTGCTTTAATTTTGTTGTATTGATAGTAGTTATGCTGATTCCATCACCCGAACTCACCAGCATTTACAGTTTCTGCAGGGCCTTGGCTTATTAGGCACACTAGATCTTACCTGGTTGCTGCTGTGTACTTGCTTCTGGTCCTAGTTAGTGAAAGCCAGTAACGGTACATCAATCATATTCTCTTATTTAGAAAGCTTGCTTTCTCTTACTTATCATTTGGCATCGTTCTCATTTCAACTGGCAAATTACAACATGCACCTCGAGCTAGGAAGCAGAAGTGCTAGTACATGTTACTATACTGCGTATCAATCATTGTACTAGCGATTCCTCATGCTACTTGATGTCTATCATGCTACAAGCTATCGATCTTCTCGTTCAAGCAGCGTCGATGATGCCCGTCAGTGTTGGGGCGGGGGGTGGGAGAGTTGCATGAGCCGTTGGAAAACGAGAGACGTGGGTGGAGGGAAATGAGCTCCAACCCACGATTTGTAGTTGGAGAAGGGCGTTTAGCGCGCTTCGACGATGCCAAAACATGCGTTACAAGCAGCTGCGCTTTCGAAATACGTAATTTTGAAAAACACTTCGTGTGTTTAAAAATTATAATATTTAGAAAGCTTGCTTTCTCTTACTTATCATTTGGCATCGTTCTCATTTCAACTGGGGTTCTTGAGACATGGGTAGCCGGGCTTCCGATGACGGATGAGTGCCTCTGCGTGCTGTGCTGAGGACGGGGCATGATTCAGGTCCTGCAACTGGCGGGAGGCGTTGATGAGATGTTCGGCATTTGGCGTGACGTACATCTCCTTGGCTGCGTCACTACGCCATCGGCCCAGCCGTTTGAAGATTCTGTCTGGCACGCCGGTGTTTGCCGCGGCAGTGGCTGCACCCTTGCGAAAGGAATGAGTGCCCAGCTGTTGTTCTCCAAGTCCGATCTTCCCAAAGGCCTCTTTGCACCAGTTTCGGATTGTCGGATACGACGGTGGCCTTGATTGGCCACCTTGGGTGGAACCATGACCGAAGGTGCGAATCAGCGGCCCCCTTGATTGCTGATCATATCCGGCGAGTCGAATGAGTCGTTGAGTGCCGCGGACAGGGCAGAACGGATCGTGTGTTGCGGCGATAGGTATCCATGTGCCTTTTCCAGCTTGGTCCGTCTTGGAGTACGGAATTAGGATCCACATGACCTCGTCGTCAAACTGGATGTCTTGCCACTCGATGGCGACGAGGTCTGAGTATCGCAGGAATCCGGAGTACATGAGAATGGGGATGAGCCCCTTTTGGAATTCGCCGGGGTTGTCAGATCGCAGGTATCCTGCCGACATGTCACGGACTTGTTGCAGCGAGACTGGCTCCTTCACTCTCGTGGGGCGAGGACAGTGTCGTTTTGCTAAGTCGCGTACTTGAGTGGTGAATGGTCCTGCCGTTGGGCATGCGCTCCCAGTCATGCGGTGGGCGAAGCTCACGGCTGAGCAGGTGAGTTGTACCATGGATAGGGTGGCCTTGCGTTTGATGGCGTACACCAGGTATAGTGCGAGGGTCATGTCTGCCGCGGGGAGGAATGGGAGGTCCACCTTTGCACAGAAGGCTCGAAACTTGACCCAGTATGGCTCGTACGTTTGGATCGTTGAGTCAGCACGAGACTGTGAGAGCATCTTTAGAAGCTGTACTTGTAGCTTTGGCAGTATGTCTGCGTGAAGGAGGACGAGATGGGTTAGTTGAAGACCACTGGTAATGCGACGATTGTACTATGAGGCAATCCTGTGCCTGAGAAAGCGGTGCGGTGCGAGCCTACTGCTAAACATTGGCTGCCGTGCGTCAAGGGAATTTGTGCTTGGATATGCGGGGCCCAGCTAGGTGGGGAGGGTTGTAGGAGCGGCCACCAGGTTGCCCCTGGCCAATGTGGGACAACGAGGGTGAGTGAGGCGTGGGTGCGTTGTGCGTGGTGGATGACTGCTGGGATTAACTGGGGTGGCGGGAACGCGAAGCCATTCTCGGTCGACCATGAAATCGAGAATGCGTCGATTGCAGTGGCCTCCGGGTGTGGTATCTTTGAGCAGAATCGTGGCAGCTGCGAGTTGTTTGGGCTTGCGAAAAGGTCGATTGAGTGGGGACCCCGACGACGATTGAGGATGCGGAACCATGGTTGTTTCAAGGAGTAATCGTCGTGGTCGATCATTTTGGACAGCTCATCTGCATGGGAGTTTAGCTCGCGCGGGATCCATTCAACAATTAATCGAGTGCCGAGCTCCATGCACGTGCGGATGATGTCCTTGCAAGCGGTGGTGAGGTCGGGGGTGCGAGAGCCGCCTTTGCGGAGGATGAAAAAAACCCCTTGGTTGTCCACCCTCACGAGCACGTGTTTTTGCTGAACCTTGTTCGCGTACGTTCGAAGGGCCCAAAGGACGCCTTCAATTTCCCTCCGAGTGCTGGACGTCATTCGCAATGGTTCTGGCATGGCTGCGCTTGCCTCTTCGAGTTCACCAGGGAAAGTGAGAAGGGTGGCGCCCCAACTATGAGAGCTGGCGTCCACGTGAATTACCGCGTCATAACTATTCCGAACGTGGAATGGTGCGCCATTAAATTTGTCGAACTCTTCAAGCCAGAACTGCAACTCTTCAGCAACGGGGGGGGAAATGCTCAAGCTGCTTCCCCAGGATGGCGCGTCATTAATTGCTTGTAGCATGGCGTGGCTGAATGCACGCGTCGTGGCGCCGAGTGCGACGGCCATCGACGCGAGTGTGCCGGTGATTCTGGCCAGGTGGCGGACTGGAACCTGTCGGCGCGCTTTGCTTGCGTCCAGTAGGTTCCGAATGTGTGCGTGAAGTGATGCCCGTCGATCGGTGCCAATTGAGAATTGACCAGATTTGGTGTCCAACTCGACGCCCAAGAATCGCAGATGTTGGGATGGCAGCAGCTGCGACTTTTTCGCGTTAATCACCAAGCCCGCCATCTTGAGGTCCGAAATTATATGCTGGCATGTTGCTTGTGCGTGGGCCTTGGACGTGCATAAGAACAGGATGTCGTCCACATAGGGTATCACTCGAACGCTTTGTTCACGCCAGCGCCTGGCTAGTTGTTTGATGAGCTGCGTGAAGACAAATGGTGCCGTGGCGAGGCCAAAGGGTAGTGAACGGAAGGCGTACGTACGCCCTTCAAATTCGAAGCCCAAGAATTTCCAGCAAGAGTTGTGTATGTCGATATGGTGGTATCCCGATTTGAGGTCGATGGAGAACATCCAATCTCCCATGCGTGCCAGGTCGGCCACGCGGCTTAGGCCTTCGTATTTGAATTTAGGGATGGTCAGGTGCGCGTTCACTTTTCTGAGGTCGAGGATTAGCCTGCATTTTTCTCGTTGCTCAACCACGTTGAGTGGGCTTATGCATGTGAGCTCCGCTGCTGGGGTGACCACCGCCGCGCCGGTCTCGGTAAGTTCGCGAATGGCAGTGCGTGTGAACGCAGCATGCGTGTGCGCCCCGAGGTGGTTGCGCTCGTGAAACGGTTGTGGTGGGTTGT